AGATTAAAAACAAGGTACAGAAAGCAGAATAAAACTAATAAGGTGTGGGTTATGAGGTGCAAGACTGTTGGAAGTAAGCTCACTAGAGATCACCCTCCCATTCCCCAAGGAAAAATCCCTTTGACAGCACATTACCTTCCTTCTGTCTTTACACTGGAGGAGGGACCAGCAGTGCAAATACTGTCAAGTGTTCCTGCCTGAGGCAGTGATGTTGCTGTATCAGGGGCTGGAAAACGGAGTGTGACATCACAGCTCCTGTAAAACCTTCAGTAGGATTTAGAGGCAAACCCTTGGGGAGCAAAGATGAAAGTATCTTTGAATTTTCCCTGTGGGGAAGAGGGTTTGTCCCTTAATTAGTCTAGTACTCCTGCAGATACCCCAGGAGAGTTTTAATCCCTGAGTTGTGTACTTCCTGGACTCTGTTTTCCCCAGCCACTGGCTGGCACATCAGCTGGTAGGGGAGAAGAGGCTCTGCCAAAGCAATCTTGGTGTCTTTTCTCCATGATGTCTGCAGCTCACTTGGCCCGCTTCAGGTTACAACTGGATTCTGTTCTGAGGTAAGATTTGAATTTCGGGGACCCAGGGGCGTAGCACCAGCAGTTGGGCTCACTTGGGGAGTGAATCATTGGACGGAGGATCTTCCTCCATCTCTGTATATCTGTATCTGTATGTCTCTCCTCCTCTCTGTACAACTGACTTTGTAATAAAAAGAAATAAATCTTTAAAAAAAAAAAAAGGAGTTGAATTTTGGGACCCAGCACAGTAGCTTAGCTGCTAATGCTAATGTTCTCACATAGCATGCGCCAGGATGCCATATGGGTGCTTCCCATCCAGCTTCCTGCTGTTTTCCGGGGAAAACAGCGGAGAATAACAAAAACCTTGGGAGCCTGCACCCACTTGGGAGACCTGAAAGAAGCTCCTGGCTCCGGGCTTCGGATTGGCTCGGCTCTGGCCGTTGTGGTCACTTGAGGAGTGATTCAGTGGATGGAAGATCTTCCTCTCTGTATATCCAACTTTCCAATTGAAATAAAGCTTAAAAATTTGTTTTTGGGGCCCAGCGGCGTGGCCTAGCGGCTAAAGTCCTCGCCTTGAACGCACCAGGATCCCATATGGGCGCCGGTTCTAACCCTGGCAGCTCCACTTCCTATCCAGCTCCCTACTTGTGGAGGATGGCCCAAGGCTTGGGACCCTGCACCCGTGTGGGATACCTGGAAGAGGTTCCTGGATCCTGGCTTCGGATCGGCATAGCATCGGCCATTGCGCTCACTTGGGGAGTGAACCATTGGACGGAGGATCTTCCTCTCTGTATATCTGACTTTCCAATAAATAAATAAATCTTAAAAAAAATTGTTTTTGAATTTTGAAGCCTTTTAGGAAGATAGTGCTAGTGCTAGTGTTGATTTTCTGGTCTTAATTATTGAAATATCAGCTATAAAATCATATTAGAATTTACATTTAAGAAAAAGCAAATAGTAAACAAAATTTGTGGGTGGTTTGAAGGGTTTTTTCTTTTTTAAGATTTATCTTTATTGGAAAGTCAGAGAGGAAGATCTGTCTGATGATTCACTCCTTAAGTAGCTACAATGACTGGAACTACACCAATCCAAAGCCAGGAACCTGAAGCTTCCTCCAGGTCTCCCATGTAGGTGCAGGAACCCAGGGCTTGGGATGTCATCAGCTGCTTTCCCAGGCCACAGCTCCAGCCATTGTGTCTGCTTGGGGAGTAAATCATCAGTTTATTTTGTTTTTATTGGAAAGTCAGATCCACAGAGAGGAGGAGAGTCAGAGAGAAGGAGTTCCATCCTTCCATCCACCGATTCACTCCCCAGGCGACTGTGATGGCTGGAGCTGAGCTCATCTGAAGCCAGGAGCCAGGAGCTCTTCTGGGTCTCCCACGTGGGTGCAGGGTCCCAAGGCTCTGGGCCGTCCTCCACTGCTTTCCCAGGCCACAAGCAGGGAGTTGGATGGGAAGTGGAGCTGCTGGGATTAGAACTGGCACCCATATGGGATCCCAGCGCGTTCAAGGCAAGGACTTCAGCTGCTAGGCCACGCCACCGGGCCCTAGTAGATAATTCTGTTATGGTACAAAATTTATAGAGCATACTTACACAGATCTAAATGGTGTGGCCTATTGCATGCCTGGAGTTTGCTTATAGTCTACCAACTTGTGTGTGGTGTTCATATACTGAATACTGTAAGGAGTTGTAATGCAGCTGTTAATATTTATATGTCTAAACATGGAAAAGTTACAATAAAAATGCTGTGAAAAAGGAAATCTTGGAGATGTATTCTTGTGGGACCACTAATGTATATGTAATTCATAGCCAAAAAACACCATTGTTGTGGCACGGGACAGTGTTAATTCTCCGCCTTTTCTTGCCCTATGCTCTCGGCTGGATGGACCGTAAGGGGGTTAGTAAGTAGATGTGGACACTTACTGGAGAAGAGATTATAAGCAGTACCGCAGTCATTTGACTCCAGCAGACTCTTTGCTTGCTGAGGTCTGCAGCTTGGGTTCCTTCTGTTATTCTACCTATTAGAGACCTAAAAAGACTGAAATTGTGCCAGAACTCTCTTGGTTCCCTGTTCTCCTGTGGCATTCAATTCTCAGTTCTTTTGGCTATTTCTGCAGATCTGTTTTTTTTTTAATTGTTATTAATTACATTGCATTATGTGACACAGTTCTATAGGTACTGGGATTCCCCCCATCCCTCCCCTAACCCTCCCCTCCATGGTGGATTCCTCTACCTTGTTGCGTAGCCACAGTTCAAATTCAGTTGAGATTCCTTCATTGCAAGCATATACCAAGCATGGAGTCCAGCATCTTGTTGTCCAGATAAGTTCAACGGCTTCTTGGGGAGACCTTCTCTGGTCCCCGTTCAGCTGGTGGTTGCAATTGCTGGGTTGATTCCATCTTGAGCCTCAACTTCTACTGGAATCAATGGGTGTTGTAGTCCTTCCTGATTCTGCTCGTCACGTACTCGGCCCTCACACCAACCACTGGAAGCTGCAGCCTCCTGGGAGCAATCCCCAATAACCCCCACCTGACCCGCCCCTGCCCTGATTTGCCAGCATGTTTAGCAGCCTAGTTCAGTCTGCCCCATATCCCATTGGGCTCTTGTAGATGGCAAAAGGTATTGGAGCTTAGTTCCATCCAACCAGCTCAACTGTCCAGCCCTCACGGATGTTGTTGAGTGCCTCTCTGTCTAGCCAACCCAGCCCCTGTCTTAGCTGTTATTATGCCCTCCCATGGGAGTGTTGACCCAAGACAGGGGAGCCCACTATTTCCCTCCCAGGTCACCCTCACTCTCGGGTTGTGCTCTCTCCAGGTGGCACTGTGGTTGGACTTGACAGTAATGGCCCCTAGTGCCAGCTTCTGCTATGGCTCTCACTCCCTCCTGTTTTGTTGACACAAGTAGGAATAGTCCGCCTGTCTTGGCTCTTCCCTGATCTGGTCCATATGAGGCACACAGGTGCTGCAGCCCTACCTAGTCTGGTCCCAGCCAGCTCATGCTCTCCAGAAGGAGTAGCTATCCAGCACGGGAACCACTCCATATTCCCCTGTCGGCTCTGCTCCCCCTTCCTGATTCTCATGTGTGTTGGTTGGGTGCTGTGGTCTCATCTGGCACAGGCAGCCTCACCTTGGTATTCTGTGTTGTATCCTGCTTTTGTCGTGACCGAACCTGGCTTGACCCACACTCTGCTCTGGTGTTCGGATTTGCCAGTGGATGACGTGAACTGACTCAACCTGGTCCGCCTCCAACCCATGCCAAATGTATGCCAGTGTGCACTTTTTCTGGGTTGTTTCCTTCTGTGCTTCTTGTGTTTATTTGAAGGATCCGTGTCCTGTCAGAGCAGTTGCTCAGACTCCTCCCTCAGAACCCCTCCTGGTGCCAGGTTTCACACATACAAGTGGGTCCTTGGGCCAGCACCACTCAGTTCATCTCCTGTCCTAGCAGGAGCAACGGCTTTTTTTTGTTTTTGTTTTTTACTTTACTGGCCTTCAACCCATTCTGGTTCTTACTGCTGAATGTTTCAGCCCAGCCATGGCTCATCCATTCCCACATATAGCACATTCGTGGCTCAGTTGGGGGTTGAAACCCAGCCTAGTCTGTCCCACATCTACCCTGGTCCTCCAGAACACCAGAAGGTGTTAGAGTCTGACCCGGCCCGGTGTGCCAAGTCCCAGTTCACACTTGTACCAAGGGAGGCTACATCTGTGTCCCGACCAGAACGCAGCTCCATTCCAGTGTGTGCGCCCCTTGGTGGGGACCTTCACCTAGCCTGGGTCTCCCCCCAGCTCCCCAGCCGGGCCTGATCACAGCCAATGCTAAGCGTGCCAGTGGTCGCTCTGGCTCAGCTCAGCACAGCCCGTCGCCTGACACAAGCCTTCTACAGATGTGGTTTTAAGGAGCTGCTTTTACAAAGTTATCTGTTCTGATACCAGGTCTTGCCGGCTGGATCTCTCTGATACTCATCCTGACAAGGTAGTTTCACAGATCTGAAAGAGCCCTCTAGAGGAGAAGTAAAACAATTTTGTGTTCCTTGTTTAACCTTTGAGGTTTTCCCTAGTCTGTTGTTACTGTGATCTGAAGTTGGAATATGCCACCTTAGTTTCTGAATTTAGCAATTCAGAAAAGGAAGTTTTATGTTTTACAAGATTCTGCTTGGTTGAGAAAAGCTTGTTCCAGGAACACAAAAAACTTATACTGTGTTGGGAGGGCCTTGCTTTATTGCAGAAGGCCACTTCAATGCCTGCTTGCTTGAAGAGTGTACATACCGTGTTGGTAGACAGTATTGATGGTGCATTCCTTCTCACATGTCAGGATTGCTTGTCTAAAGAGGACTGCTGATAGCCCATCCCTTGCTTATTCTGGACACGAACTTTCTTGGGGAGTGTGTGTGTGTGTGTGTGTATTGAGGGCAGGAGGGAGACAGTGTCCTGGAAGTCTAATAATGAGATAAACAGATAGGAAAGGTGAGTTCCTCCAAATTTGTTTTAGCTGTGGTTAATTGTGTCTTGTAGGATTTTATTCCTTTTTCTTTTTAATGAGTTTGAGGATAGGACTTTGACCTGGCAGGTGTCTGTTGGCTGGCCTTCATCCCAGGTGAGACGCGTTTTGGTTGGAATCCTGGCTGCATATCTGACTCCACCTTCCTAGGAGATAGCAGCTGATGGCTCAGGTACTCCTGCTGCCAGTTATGGAAAACTTAGTTTCAGTTCATAGCTTCTTTCTTTCTCTCCTTCTCTGTAAATCTGACTTTCCAATAAAAATAAATCTTAAGGGAAAAAAAAGTACTGTTCTGACTCTGGAATGTGACTGCTCTCGCTTCCGTCTAGGCAGGGCAGTAAGTGTACTGAGCTAGCCCCTGGAGAGCCAGTTGTGTTCAGAATAGTGCAAATGTATGGTACACAGATCCTTGCCATTTATTGTGTGAATAGGTATTTTTCCAGTTTTTATTCTCACATGTACACGTCTCTGCTAACTGAAATATTACTTAATCATTGTCATAGTTGGGAAAATTGTTGCTACAAATAAAGATATATATGTATATATTTGAACCAACATGCTCATTACATTGCATATCTGTCTAAACTTGTACTTGTAGTGCTTAAGTTCATTGTCTTGGTATCTTCCTTGAATTAATTGCCTTGTGTTCTGTGATCTTGTTTTTTGATTTGTTCCAGTGTGAGCCACTGCCCCATACTGTGTTGATGCTGATCTGCCATGCTAGCCTGTCTACCAGGGCCAGGTGACCTGTCCTTTCAGCTTCTTTCTCACACGCAGATGAACACTGGACTTCAGAAATGTAAGTAAGAGTTATCTGGATATGTACTGATCCTTTGCTCTGTCCTTACATTTGGACTGTTTTGGAGACACATCCTGGGGTACACTGACCTTTAATTTTGGTGCTTCCAGAGATGGCATGAAAGTGACTGCAAAGATTGTTCTAGTCAGCAGTGTGAGAGGCCCTCTCCTGATCAGAGATCCTGTGCAATGCTACAGTTCCCCACTGCTTTTTTATCTTAATTTTCACTGTTGTTGATAGCTTTCTATAGTGCAACAAAAAGGAACTTTCTGTGAGATGTGAGTAGGTCAGTTTTAAAAGGCTGTTTCAGTTTGAACCCCACACCAGGGGAAGTGAATGAAAGCTTACATAGTCCAGATTAACCATAACTGAAATAAACTGCGCAATAGTATTGTTTTGAGCTCTGAGTTCACTGTACCAGAGAAACACAGTTTATTTTGGCTTTGCTGTCCACTTGCTGAGCTGGTATGTCTTCAGTTTGCAGCAGGTGGAGTAGCTTTTGTCCTCAGAAGGGCTGAGTAGCTAGTTTTCTCAGGGCGTCTAGGCATTTTCATGCTGATATACCTCCTCACAAATTGAACCTTTGAAAACTGTCTACTGGAAAAAAAAAAAAAAAAGAAAACAGTCTACTGGATTTTTTTTAACTGCCTGGAATTAGGGCACTATACTTTTTATTATCCCAGATTCCTGCCTTCTATCCCTGCACTACATGATAGGCAAAGAAAAGATTCTATTCCTGGATCATTACCATGGATAGAATCTGCAAGTGTAAAAATAACCCTGAATTGGAAATATGCCTTCCTTTAAGAGCAAAAAGTGGGAGTCAGGGAGGCAATTCAGGCTTCCCTTTAGTTCCCTTTAGTTGGAATGGTGCTCCAGTATCTTGCCTCCAGTCCTTTCTGACAGCCCTTCTTCCCTTCCAGCTCCCTGCCTGTGGCCCGGGAAGGCAGTCGAGGACGACCCAAGGCTTTGGGACCTTGCACCCGCGTGGGAGACCCGGAAGAGGCTCCTGGCTTCGGATTGGCATAGCATTGGCTGTTGCGCTCACTTAGGGAGTGAATCATCGGACGGAAGATCTTCCTCTCTGTCTCTCCTCTCTGTATATCCACCTTTCCAATAAAAATAATAAATAAATCTTTAAAAAAAAAAAAAAAAAGAAAGAAAGAAAAAAAAGAAAAATGTCTTCTGGCCAGCCAGATCTTGGCATTGTGCCTCCATCTCAGACTCAGCTGGTCAGAGAGGGAAGCCTAGAAAGGCTATACAGTTACATGACAAGGAGAAACTCAGTTTCGTGGTTTTTTTTTTTTTTTTAAGATTTATTTATTTATTGGAAAGTTAGATATACAGAGAGGAGAGGAGAGACAGAGAGGAAGATCTTCCATCCGATGATTCACTCCCCAAGTGAGCGCAATGGCTGATGCTATGCCAGTCCGAAGCCGGGATCCAGGAACTTCTTCCGGGTATCCCACATGGGTGCAGGGTCCCAAAGCCTTGGGCCATCCTCGACTGCTTTCCCAGGCCACAAGCAGGGAGCTGGATGGGAAGTGGAGCTGCCAGGATTAGAACTGGCGCCCATATGGGATCCTGGTGCGTTCAAGGTGAGGACTTTAGCCGCTAGGCCATGCTGCCAGGCCCAAAACTCAGTTTCTTTCTTCTTATTTTGTCACCACAGTTTGACAGCATCACCAGAGAGAGGTAAGATATCAGAGGAAGAGACATTTGGGAGGAAAAGCTGATTGGCAGCTGGATCTCATTGCTAACATTAGGTGTCTTTTATCTTCTCCCCAAAGCCACCCCTAAAATAGCCTCTGCCAACTACCGCCCCCAAGTCTGGTTTCCAGAATCAGGGTGCTGTGCAGGTTTCAAGTTCACTTGTCCAAGAGTGAGTGTGTGTGTTCCAGCTCCTCCAGCTCTCATTGCTACCCTGAAATACACCGAAACATCTACAGAAAACAGATGTTCATGGGTCTTTTTTCAGCTTTCTAATTTCTTCTAAAGTGTGCCAGAGAGAAAAAGCCTATCTCATGACTCATACCTCTTACATGCAACATTTAGAGCTAAGGTGAGATAGAGCCTAAGCTGTAGCCAAGCAGCTGCTCAGACCACAGGCCCACAAGCTTTCAAGGTCTTGCCTTTTCCTGTGCCCTATCCTCAGATTCAGGTTACCAGAAACATAGGCCTTAGCAGCTTGTAGAATGAGGTGGAATCCAGGTATTTGTGGCCGGGTACGCTTTACTCTATTCGTCAGCCCTCTGTAGAGGGACGGGCCAGCGCTCAGGAGATCGGCTGTGTGGTATCTTGGTCCAGCTCTGGCTTTTCTAGCTGGATTTCTTTTTTCTCGTGTATGTCAGGGAATATGGTGTTTTATATCTTTAGACTATAAATTGCTCTAAAGCAGGCCAGATTAAAGAATTCTGAGGACCCAGTGCTATAGCCTAGTTGGCTAAAGCATTGGCCTTGCACGTGCCTGGATCCCATATGGCCCTGTTTTAATCCCAGTGACCCCAGTTCCCATCCAGCTCCCTGCTTGTGGCCTGGGAAAACAGTAGAGGATGGCCCAAGGTCTTGGGAGCTTGCACTCACGTGGGAGACAGAGTATCTGGACTCCTGGGTTTGCAATGGCTCAGCTCTGGCCATTTCAGCTGCATGGGGAGTAAATCAGTGGACAGAAGATCCTTCTGTATCTCCTCCTCTCTGTATATCTGACTTCACAATAAAAATGAAATAAATATTAAAAAATAAAATAAAAGAATCTTTGAGTGGTTGCTGTACTAGTAGAGGTGCAGCTGAGCATTAATGGATTCCCGCTGGAGCTTGTTCAATCCATGACATCACTTCCTTAGAGGATTCTCAGCCACTTTGTAAATTTTGTTTTTCCCCTGACTTGTGATCTCGTAATGTTCCAGAAGTGTGATTTTGAATTTTTTTTCCTTTTCTTAACGCAAAGCTGCAAGTTTATTAGTTCCTCAGCTCTGTCAGCTTCAGGTATATTGTAGTGGCCACGAACTATTTAGGGTGAATGGCTGGGATGGTTTAAATTCCTTGGTCCTTAAACCCTTTTTGACATGGTATGTTTGACCTCTTTCAGGGTCTTGCGGGGGCCTAGGAGAAATGCCAAAATATCTGTCTTGCTGCTGCTCTGTATGCCCATCTGCCCCCTAGTGGAGGGTAGCAGAAAAAGACGAATTGTCCCAGTGACTGGATGAACTTACAAGAAACATGAATGAGAAATAATAGCTGGTGTTGGTTGAGTGACTGCGCTGTGTCAGGCACCGTATTGAATGTTTTTTACATGTGTTCTCATTCATCCCTCAGCATGGACAAGGCCTTCCTTTTAGGAATGAGTCATAAAGAGAGAACTGGTTAGGATGAGAACCCTAACTCTTCAGTTTTATTTTCTGAATATAAAACTTCTGAAATTAAAACGTTTAAAAAAAGAACCATAGAGGGTTTTTCACATGACTGTTTAATGACTGCCTGTGCCTCTGCACCCACAGCTAGTTCCTGCTGCCTGTGGCCACTTCTGCCTCTGAGCTTCAACACAAAAGGATAAATGGAGGGATAGGGTAGGGAAGGCAAGATTCAGGCAGTTTTTCCCCCTCCAGGGTCTGGAGTAGACAGCAGCATTTTCTGCAACATTCAGTGTCCAGACTAAGGGCCCTGCTGTTGGGGTTTCCTTAATCAGATTGCTTTGTGCTGTCTGTGGACAGTTAGCTACACCTGCTGTCCTTGAATTTCTGTTGACAGGCACAGTTCCTGGTCATTTAACATTCATTCAATCTCTTGAACATAGTCATTGTGTGAAGTAGGGGGACAATGCCAGCCTGTGGATAAGCAAGCAATGTCTAGGGCTCAGCAGTGGCCAGATGAGGCGGCCAGTGTCCGAGTCTAGAGCTATTTCTCTAAACACAGATTACTTCTTCTTTACACTGCCTCAGGTGTCTGTTAGTGACCCATCAGTACAAGAAACTTAAGTGAGATGTTTGTCATGCTTTAGGGTATCTGTTGCCTGTGTAGTTACAGAATATGTTGTGGGTGTGAGGTTGTCTGTGTGGGGACTGTAAGGGCTGAAGAGAGAGAGACTGTGCACATGTATGTGTGCTTGTGTGTGCACTTGCTATACAAAGGGCTGGGTTTAAGCCTGGTACATGAGGGAGGTGCTGCTATCCCAGACTGTGGCCTGTGTCTTGTTCAGTAGCTGGTCTTCTAAGATCCTTCTTTAGTGCAGATCTTGCAGCCTGTGTCTCTCCACCCCCATCCTCAGCTCGCTTTAGTTCTGGCTCCTTTACTTGACTGCCTTGTTCATTGCTCAACCAAGAACATTCCCTTAGTGTCTGAGTATCTGTAGTCAGTAAATGAAGCAGGCCCTTACATGTTGGAGTGGCTGCTGAGGGCTGCCCCATTGTATGGTACACATACCTGTGCTTTCTGCATGTGCCCGTTTTGCTCAGGTCTGCCTGAGCATGGGACCAAATCTCTTGGGCTCTCTGGGACCTGAGCTTTCTTTTCTTTTTCCAAGAGCAGCAGTTTCTAAGCAGTTGCTGCCAACTAAGCGGCAGTGTCACCAAACATAGGCAGCTGTGCCCTTTTCCTTTTAACACACTCACTAGCCTGCTACTGTTCCAGCGCTACTCTGGGATGTGACTTTGAATGGGGTCTCCTTTGGGCCAAGGCCAGCAAAGGCCACAAGCTGGGTATTCAGTGGGATTTGTCCTTGATCTGTTGGAGCTGCCCTCTGTAAGGGAAGGAAGTAGGGAGGGAGTCAGCTAACAGCCCAGGCTCCCAGCCAAGCCACTGTCTTTCTGCTTTGGGCAGTCTGTGTACTTATTCAGCAAGCATGTATTAGGCGCCTTTTGTGTATACTCATGGGAGATGCTCCCTCAGAGAGAAGGAGAGCCAAGCACAGACCCCTTGCAAGAGCCAGACGTCCTTAAAGAGCTCTTGTTCTCAGAACCTTTTCCTTTTTGACTGGAAGCCCAACATCCGCTGGAGCCCCCTGATGGGAGGCAACCGGAGATGGGAACAAAGAGACTGTTGGCATTAATGAGCCACAGTGAGAGGGTATTTCCGCAGCCTCCAGAGGAAGGCAGGTTTTCCTCTTTCTTTTTGGAAAGTGACAGCTGACATGGACCCAAAGAGACTATTTTTGGCTCTCAGGACTTAAAGATGCTCTGAATCTTTTTTTCTCAATTCCTGCTGCCCTGTCATTATCATCCTTCACCAGCAAATAAATAAAGCCTTTTGATCTTCCCCCAGTCAAGCGTAGAATAAACTGTAAACAAAAGTGAACTTGTGACATGGAGACAGGGAGAGACGTTGGCAGCTAAATCCGCTGCTCCTAAAAAGGAAGCTTCCTGTCCACTGTGCCCACCCAGTGGGCCTGGCACAGGGGAAAGCTGATGCCTCATTAGCCTCTGCAGCTGAGAAGTCGCTCCGGGTGCCCTTGTTATTAGAACCTCTCATGGAAGAACCAGAGTGCCTACCAACGGCCCTTACAAGCAGCTCTATTTAGAACAAGGTTAGGAGTCCTTTTTTTTTGCCAAGGCACATTTGAATATTTAAAACATAATCTATGGGCCATACAAAATTATCAGCCTGCTATAGATTTATGGAATTTTGAGTCCTGCCTGAGGTTAGCTTGGCAGGACTAGACCAAATGATTTCACTGGCTTTATATGGACCATGGCCAAATGGTCCCCATCCCGGGCTTCATTTTAAGTTCAGATCCCAGACCAGCATGGGCAGGTAGGAACTTGGAGTTCCTGCCCCTGCATTAATTACTCTGTAGTGGAAGAACTCTTAGCTACTGCTGTGAGAATTGACCATATTCTGGCTGTAAGACAAAGAATTTTAGAAGTTGCTTTGCTATTCCGATTTTTGCTTTGTCATAAAATGGGAATCGTGATCATATCTGCTGAAGCGGTAGTGAGGATTCATTAAGATAGCTTCACACTCACTTGACACAGGCCTTGCCCACTCTCCCTCAGCTTTAGCAGTGCTTGTTGTGGTGACTGAGCCTGCATCTTGAGTGAAAGTCACCAGTGACAACCTAGCTCTTCCCAACACCCTGCCACAGGCCCTCAGCAGGGAATCTGGGCGGGCTGGTTGGCTTGGCACTGATGAGCTCCCTCTCCCTCTCTGCTCTCCTTCCCCTTCTCTCTCTCTAGGGGACACTACACAGAAAATGAGAACTGCTCACTATCCTACCCCAGCCGAATTGGACGCGTATGCTAAGAAGGTCGCAAACAACCCACTGACTATAAAAATCTTCCCCAACAGTGTGAAGGTTCCCCAGCGGAAACACGTTCGTCGTACTGTGAACGGCCTCGACACATCAGCCCAGCGCTACAGCCCCTACCCGACTCAGGCTGCCACCAAGGCAGGCCTACTTGCCATTGTCAAAGTGCCAGCCAAAAGCATACTCAAGGACTTTGACGGCACCCGAGCCCGGTTGTTCCCTGAGGCCATCATGAACCCCCCAGTAGCGCCCTATGCTACTGTGGCACCCAGCACTTTAGCTCATCCACAAGCCCAGGCTCTGGCCCGCCAGCAGGCCCTACAGCATGCACAGACCCTGGCTCATGCCCCTCCCCAGACGCTGCAGCACCCTCAGGGTATCCCGCCACCCCAGGCGCTGTCCCACCCTCAGAGCCTCCAACAGCCTCAGGGTCTGGGCCACCCTCAACCCCTGGCTCAAACCCAGGGCTTGGTCCACCCTCAGGCCCTGGCTCATCAGGGTCTCCAGCACCCCCCCAATCCGTTGCTGCATGGAGGCCGGAAGATGCCAGACTCAGATGCTCCCCCAAATGTGACTGTGTCTACCTCAACTATTCCCCTTTCGATGGCGGCTACCCTGCAGCACAGCCAGCCCCCGGACCTGAGCAGCATCGTGCACCAGATCAACCAGTTTTGCCAGACGAGGGCAGGCATCAGCACTACCTCAGTGTGTGAGGGCCAGATCGCCAACCCCAGCCCCATTAGTCGCAGTCTGCTCATCAATGCAAGCACTCGGGTGTCGACCCACAGCGTCCCTGCACCAATGCCTTCCTGTGTGGTCAATCCCATGGAGCACACACATGCGGCTGCAGCCGCACTACCCGCTGCAGGCCCTGTCAACCTGCCCACGGGCATCTCTCGAGCCCCCACTGGCTACACTAATGACCTCAAGCCAGTTGCCTGGAACCAGCACCAGCTGGCCCACCTACAACAGATGTGCAGTGAGGCTGGTGGGACGCCAGCCCCTGGCCTGACAGGCAAGCATGCAGCAGGACGCGAGTTAGCAGGGCCTGGCTTTGTGGGCAAGGCCCCTGCCTACCCGCAGGAACTCTGCCTGGCACAGTCCTTCCATCTGAAGCCACCCCTGGAGAAACCAACCCCATCCCCACCAGTCAACGGCCTGGCAGCCCCACTGGCCTACCCTAATGGGCACTACTTCCAGCCCCTGTGGAACAACATTCTGCCCACTCCCAATAGCGACAGCTCAGGGTCTCAGGACCTCGCCATGCCATTCCACGGTGGGCAGCCCACGGGTGCACCCCTCGACTGTGCGGCAGCAGCTCCTGGGGCTCACTACCGAGCAGGGACCGGAGGCGGTCCAGTGGCAAGCCAGAACAGCTTGATGCAAACGGTGGATTACCTAAGCGGGGATTTCCAACAGGCCTGCTTCCGAGAACAGAGCCTGGCCATGCTGAGCAAGGCCCACCGCGCCCCTGGCAGCCGAGCCCCCGATCCCACAGATAGTCGAAGTCTTCATATTCAGCACCCGGGGTATAGATAGGTAGCCCTGGTGAACCTCCACAAGCAACACATCATACTTCACCCTCCTAGATTTAGTCTTACTTTTAAATAACTGGATAGTTTCAAAGTTTCACTGCTCCAATGTGATCACTCCTAGATGTTTCAGAAGGAGAAATTGGTGGGATATCATTGAGGACAGGAGTCCTCTCATTCTCTGCTCAAGGAGGCAGCTTTTTATGTTAGAACCTAACCACAGCCCTGTCCCTTTACCTTGACCATTTTGACCAACCTCCTCCCATCTTCCTGAACCTCTGCTTGTCTTCTTTAGGACTGCAGTGTGGGCTGAGGGAAAGGCCCCGCGGGACATGGCTGCAAGTGCCCAGCCCCGAGCTAGGCTTTTCCCTATCTCTGCCTTTGGGACAAAGAGGCCAGACTCCCAAGTGCTCTGGAAGCTAATTCTTTAGTTACCCAAAGATCTCAAAATCGACTCCCAAGTTCACTTCTCAGCCCCCTGCCTCTTTACTTCCTCAAGGTTGTGTTTTATATTTGCGTTCATCCTGCAGCTACGCTGGACCACAGGGGCATCCTGTGGGTTTTGGGTGCATAACCTTGAGACACCAGGGGAGAAGAAAAGCCTGTCAGTACTGGCACCTTGGTCCCTGACCTCACTTTTCAGGTGTGGAAAGGACGTGCATGCCCTAGATCCCTTTCATACTGTTGCCTCTCTCACGTAGCTGCTGCCTTTATCCTTTCACCCTTCTTCCTTTCTCCTTCGAAAACAAATCAAAAACCTTCACAACCATAACTGAGATATTAGGTAGGTAAAGGATGATCACATTGGAGTTTGAAATTGAAAACACCAAAAAAAAAAAGTTAAAATACATTTGGTTCTCTCTACACTGGCTAAGAATATTGCTCTACACTGTAAGTTTTAAATGTCATGTTTCTGTATGAATGTAGTGTGGGTTTGAGTAGCATTGTGTATGAGTGGCCCCACAGGTTCATGCACTCCCTAGTCACCTCTCCTTGTAGCCCCTCAGTTTAATGGAGAAGGAAAAAAAAAACACAAAGCCTTAAGCTCTTTGAATTCTTCCTTTACCAAATGAGCATGGTTCTAACAGCTGGAGGCAGGCCTCTATGGGACACAGTCCCTCCCACCCCCTGCCCATTCTTAGAGCATATTCCCATCCACTTCATGCTCAGCAGGTCTCATTCCCAAGTGGCAATTAGTTGACTAGAAATTGAATGCTTTTCTGTAACTTTGTTTTGTTGTAAATTTTCGCACCCATCTCTCTGTTACAGATGCAAAGTTGGGCTCTTTCCCTCCCCCGCCCCAAACTAAATAGGCCCTTGTCGTTCCTCTTGTCCCTGGGGAACGTGAGCCATGTTCTTATTTAAGATTCTGGGTTGTGTTTACTATCCACTGTTCTGTAGCCAGAAAGTCTAGTATAATCTGAAGCAGTGTGACTGAAGACCAGTTTTTAAGTTTATATGTTGGCAAGTTGCCTTATATTTAAAAAGAAAAAAAAAAAGGGAAAAAATGCCTGATTGTGTTATGCCAAATGATAGCAACATGAAGTCCTAATTTATTGTTCCTGATTGTTTTCCTGCGTCTGTAAACACTGGTACCCCTCCCTGAGCCCCAGAGGCACCTGCAGCCTCTAGCTGCCATCTCACCCAGGGCCCCCTACCCATTCCCACTTCCTTGAGTCAAGGAGCACCACTGTCTTCCCTAAACCCTTGCTTGATCCCCAAACCAGATATTCTTGCTATGTTTCTCCTTCTCTCCCCACACTCCACCATGCCCCCCAGCCCCGCCCAGCACCTCTCCCCAAAAGGTGAGCTGCCATTTTAGGAAATTGGACCAGGCACCAGTTTGGGGCTTTCATTCAAACAACCTCAAACCCATCTCTTCCTGTGTAGGGGTGCAAGTCTCGGAAGCTCTCACTCCCACCCCTAGTCTGCATGGTAAAATGTACTGTGATTTCCTTGCCCCCAACTGCCCTCACCTTTGGTGTGAGGTTTTCCTAGTTCAACTTAAGTCCCTCTGTCCCTCTGCCAAGCAACCCCCAACCAGCAATAAGGGTCCATGCCAGGGCCTCCTAGCCACACTCCCTGCCTCCACCCCACACTGCCCCTCGGGAATACCTGGGACTCCCCACTCGATCCACACACTGTAGCATTCATTCTCCATCTCTCTCACCTCACCTGTGGTGGTTTATGGGTGTGATGGGGTTTTTAAGATTATTACAAATCAGTAAAAGAAAAAACAACTTGTCTTCTGATCTTGTCCTATTTGTTTAATGTGAATGTTTGAGGTGATTTTTCTTCTGACAGTTTCTATCATATCTCCTCATTTCTACAAGGAAGGGACCCTCTTCAGTCATCCTGGGCCAGGTTCTGTGGTGTTTACAAAGCACAGGGCTCCAGTTTGGCCAGTGCCTGGGGGAGTCCTGCTGTTGGCTTCCCCCAATGCCACCCTAGGCTGGGCTTCTGGAATGGAATTTGAAGGGTAAGTGTGGTAGGCTGTGTGGTCTGCTGCCCCTCCCAGTCGGTCCTGCCACTTAACTCCAAAGGCCACATTGGGAAATAAGGACCCAGCTTGCTAATGAGCCAACATGTAGCTCCCAGCCTCCCTCTGCCCTCTTCCACCTGCAACACTTTGGAATTTTGAGTGCCTGACAGATGTGCAGTGTTTAAGAAGCGCTGTCCTCTGCAGCATCGACGCTGGCCCTGCTGTGAGTCTCATTTTTCTCATGCATTCAGCATTACAGAACTTTCCCTCTTTCGTCAGCAAGGGGGAAAAGCTCAAGTTTTTTGCAATGACTTTTCTGCTGACTGTGGGTTTGAGCTGATACGGCTGGAGAGTTCTCACCAGCTTTGGGATTCAGGGAGTAGTCACCAAGTGGCCTCCCACATATGCTGAGAGCTCAAAACACATCTTTCAGCATGCCCTTTGCTGTGGGCTGCCGCCTTCTGCCTGTGTCAGATGAGGCTGCAATGAGCCCGGGGTCAGAGCTAGAGGGTAGAGCAGTAAGCTCAGCTTCGCCTCCAAGACTTCTGAGCCAACCAAGTGAGGTGCTTGGCGAGTCCAGCTTAGATTGGAACACAAAGTACGTATGACATTGGGCCTGCCAGGTGGGCAGAGGATGGGCCTGACTACAAAACTGCAGTGCCCACAGCTGTGGGAGGCACCCGTTCATTTGGCATGAACATGTTCTCTAGAGTCAGGAGTGAACCAGGTACTCCAATATGCTGGAAGGGCTGCTCCACTGTTAACTGAAGGTACTTTGTTCTCTGCAGGAGCCCATGGTTTCCCCTGCTAGTTTCTGGGCATCACTGCCAGGGTTGCTTAAAGTGGGGACATTTCCACTTTTAGATAGGCAACTAGGGGCTTCCCCCAAGAATGGCAACCCTCCCTGGGGTGGCTGGAGGCCAGCCCTGTCATGTAATAAAGGCCTTCTTTATCTCAGTCTTTGTGTGGGGGAAATGCATCCCTTGAACTTTGCTTAGTAGAAAACAGGGCTGAGAGGAGTAAGGCACTTTATGCTGATCATTTAATTACAGTCTAGGTAGTAACCAGTATTCACTTTGCCTGCAACGGTTATTTGCCCCGTGTAGCTAAGTAACTTGCCAAAAGCAAGAATAAGGAGCCAGGCCCAAATTATTGCCAAAATTAGAGGGACTGCTGGGATTTTAAAATAGCCCAGACTGTCACCCAAAGCAGTTGAGGGATCATTGGCTCATGCCTTGGTTCTCCAATCCTAGGTTAAAAAAATGTGAATAACCATAAGCCGAGAACGGGACAAAAAAACAGGAGATGAAGGAAATGCCAGGGAGGAGTGGTGTAAAAAGCCAGCAGACAGGCAAGGTTTGGTCTAGTGACAAAGACATGTGGGGGCGCCCTTCTCACTGAGTGCTTTGGGTCCCAGTGCTGGCTGACTTGCTTCCATTCTAATTTCCCACTGTGCATTCCAGAGAATAGCTGGAATACCTGGCCAAGGATTGCTGGTATTTGGGAGGTAAACCTACAGATGAGTGTTGTTTTCCCCTGATAAAAATTTTTGGAAGACCAGATTTAGAGATTTTGGTGCATTACAGGGATGGCTTCAAAATGTTAATACAAAATGCCTACTTAAAAAATAGTATGGACTCCAAATATCTTGCATCAAAATACGCATTTCCCCAGGGTTTCTGAGTTCATTAAGCATGTAACTCAGTGCCAGGAACATAGACTGTCTCATTAACTCTTCGCTACAGCCCATTAAGATTGGCCCTTTTATTATGGTGATAAAAACTGTTCCGTTGAACTGTTGTATTAAGTGAACTGCCGCACACAAAGTGCTGAGCAGTGTTTGCTCCCAAAAATTACTCGATGAGTGGTAGCTATTATCACTGGACCAAGACCTGCCGGGGCAGGGGCAGCTGTCTGGCCGGCTCTGGGTTCAGGCCCTGCGCTGCCTGCATCTGGCCACCAGAGGGCAGCGGTAGGCGGCCGTAGTTCTCCCGACACCCTCCAGAGGGCGACTACCACCGGGGCCGGTCCTGGGGACTAGGGCAGCAACCCTTCTGGGATCCTTAACCAACCCAGATGAGTCAGGCTGGAACCAAGTTAATAAATACAATTCAGGATTTATTAAAAATCAAGGCTCCCCTGCTGTGCCCTCCTGGCACTAAGGAAATAAATAACCAGAAGGGGCACAGCTGGGGGAGAGAAATCCAAAATCCAATCTCAGGACAGATTTTTAACCCCCCTCCCTTTTCCCATTACTCCTCCCCTTATGGCTCTTGGGGTAGCACCTGAGCAGGCACCTCAGTCCAGATAGTGTGGCTGGCACCAAGGCATGTCTGCCCTGCCCCAGAGGGGAGGCAGGCCCTGGGATCACGTTTCCAGCCCTTAATGACCCAAGACCTGCTTCCCACAGGGGCCAGGGCTGAAGCACCAATTGGAGGCACCTGAGGGTGGTGGGTAGGGGGAGAAGGGGTAGCAGAAGCAGCTGAAAGAGGGTCCGGCCCCCTGTCCAGGTTCGGCCAGTGCCTGCTGGGGTCCCCTTCTCATCCCCCGCTCCCCTAGAGCCCTGCGGGCTCTGCACTCAGCTGAGGATCTTCCTGGGAAGTTCAACAGAGGCACGGATGAAGACTGCATCATCCCGCACGTAGTTTCGTTTCCGGATGTCCTGGTGGGAGATGAACTTGGGGTACCCAAAGCCCAGAGAGCTCTCATCCAGAGAGCCACGCCACGTGCCTGGCTTCTGGAAGTTCTTCCAGTTTGGGTCAGGGTGGAAGGTCTCCGTGACATGCTGTGGCTTAGCCAGTCCAGGGTCACTCTGATCCAGCAGGGAGAAGGTGACACGGCGGGCAAAGGGCCACTCGAGGAGATTGTCAAAGGCGCCTGGCAGGACACGGATGTAGAGCGAGAGGTGTGTGCCCTCACCACTGCCATTGCCATTAAGGAACGCAGACACCTGCAGCTTGTAACCGTACTTATGTGTGTAGAAGGCTGGGCTGAAGCACTCGAGGTTGGGCTTGGCCTTGGCCTCCTGGAGCCGCCGCCCATAGCTGCTGATCTTCCAGATGAGCACACCATCGCTACCCACAGAGAGCTCCTCCAGCTCCCGCCGCAGCTCCTGCAGCTCCTGCCGTTGCCGGCTCACCAGAGCACACATCATGGCCAGGTGTGGCTTCACGCTCTCCTCCACGTGCCGTGCCATTGCCAGCTTAGGGCACTGTTAGCAAAGCCCCAGGTGGCGGGAGAGGGGAGGAGAGTTATCAGTAGTGGAAGGCCCAGGGAGAGGAGTGCGCAGAGGCTAGCCGGCGGCTGGCTGACTGAGGAAGATGGAGGGTACTAGGAGGCAGGCGAAATAGCCAGCAAGGGCAGACTGAAGGCTGGGGGCAACACAGCAGGGACCATGGAGTCCTAGATGGTACCAGGAGGCCCATCTTCCCTCTGGGGCTCAAGGGGCAGGGTGGGGCTAGGCAGGAAGGGCAGCTCACCCTGTGCTTGCAGCCGGAGTCTTTGAATGGGCACAACACCAAGGCAGTGCTGCAGCTGTCCTTCAGATGGGCTGGCAGGTCCTCTCGAGCCACGGTACCCACACCGCACTGATTGGGGCAGGGGACAGGCAGCCGTGGGCACTGGTACTGGTGGCTCTGTGACCAGAGGGGCAGCAGTCAGTGGCCTGGTTTCCCATCACCTGCTCTGCAGCCCCCAGCTCAGAAGGGCTCTCACCTGGATGGTATCAAAGACAAACTCCTTGGCGCAGTAGGTGCACGGTTGCGTGCGCTTGGGGCACTCTGAGGTGGCATGCTGGGCCAGCAGCCGTCGCATCATGCGAGAACCGCACTTGTTCTCACAGTAGACGCTTTCCTGGGGGCACATGCCCTCGTGGCTCTGTGGAAATGCCACAGGGCAGGGGCAAAGTAAAGGGGTGCCCAGCCCACCCTTCTGCCCCCTAGTCTCAGCCAGGCCGCACCCACCTCATAGGCCTCCCCACTGAAGTCACAGCCACAGAACTCGCACTTGAGGCGCCGCTTGGGGCAGTCGTGCTGCAGGTGCGCAGGCAGGTCGCGGCGGCTCAGCTTGGCCGGGCAGCGATTGGGGCAGGGGACTACGTTGAAGCTGCAGGTATTCAGGTGGCCCTAACGGGAAGGGCTCCAGTTAGTTCCTGTTAAGGAGAGGGGCAGCCCCAGCCTCCCTGCCTCAGCACCTCACCTGTAGATGGCGGAGTGGCCCACTCCAGCGGCAGCCTTCTTCACTGTGGATGCAGCGGATCGGCAGGCCCAGCACCTGGACTTCCAGCTCCGGGTCAGGATAGATCTGGGAGCCGGGAACAGGGGAACCAGCAGCCTGAGAGCCCGCTGCAGTCCACAACCTCCCTTGTGGCTGTTTCCACTTCAGAGCCACTAATGCTCCTTTGGCCACTCCGTACCCACGGACAAAGGGCACAGCAGGTGATCGCTGCAGGGATGCTGGATTCTAAGGTCCCCAACATGCCTGCGCAGTCCCAGGCTGTCCCTCCTCCCCCAGCTTTGTTCCTCTTGGTAGAGGGGTCCTGGCTCTCAGCCACATGTTTGGCTTGCTACCAGAAAGGGAGGGAGCAGTTATTGTGGGCACTCCACAGCTCTGTGCACCCCCACGGGCTGGGCGTCACGTCATGCCTCCTCTCCAGGGCAAACATGGGCCTCCGTTTGCAAACTGGCCTGCCAGGAGGGAACAGGCTACCTTTGTGGGGGCACCCGATCCCAAAGCTCTAGGTTGACATTGGCCCTGAGCCCGCTGGCTGCCAGCACCTCGAGCCTCCACCAAGGGCAGCAGCCTGTGTGCCTGGCAATGTGGACTCACCTTGGCATAATCTAGAGGAAGCTGGTCCTCAGGGCATTTGAAGACTCCTTCACTGCAAGGGGGGAAAGTGCCGGGTCAAGCCTCCTCAGGAGCAGGGACAGCCCTGCGCCACGCCCCCTTATCAAGGGCTCCCTCCCTCACCAGACCGGTTCCCAGCAAGCCCTGACCTAGACAAAAGGGCAAGCAGAGGCTAAAGTGGACAGGCTCTCCAGGACCCCAGGGGGTCTCAGCCCTAGTCCTGGGAGGGGGCGGGGGACCAGTGGAGGCCAGAGACAGCTGCCTCAGACAGCATTTGCCCAACAGGTGGCAGCTGGACTGGAAAAGGAACAGGCTGCTCAGCTACCCCTCCCCCTAAGCAAGTTCCCATTGGCTGTGCAGCAAGCTGAAGGGAGGGTGAATAGGGATGGGCTGGGAGTAAGTGCCAGAGCTGCCCAGCACCCATGAGGGTGCCAGGCCAAGAACCGGGGCAAAGGTCGATTTGGGGCCACCCTACCACCACTCCCCTTCCCCTCTGAGGGTGTTGTTTAAAGGGAGGAAAGGCAGGCACCCTGCCCAATACTGTTTACACTCCCGCATAGGCCTTAGCACCTGCCCGAGGTGAGAAGGGCTGAAATGTCCCTCTTTCAAAGCGGTACAAAAAGAAGCTCACAGGCCACAAAGCAAGCTGGTATGTCTGACTCCACAGCCCAGAGCCCACAGCCCCCCACGGACCAGCACACAGACAGGTGGGGCAGCCCAGGCGCCCCACGCTGAGCAAGATTCTGAAGCTGGCCAGCACCCCCTCTCCCCGCTGCTCCTCACCAAACCCAAGGCACCTGGTGCATGCTCCAGGACTGCCAACCCCCTGACTGGGGTCAGCAAAGGCCAGTCCTACAGGCCTGATAGGGCCCAAGCAGGGTAAGGGTTCACCCAGCAGGATGAAGGCCCTCGGGCAGGGCATTCCGGGTAGGTGTGAGTCAGGGAGGTGGGAGGTGGGAGGCAGGCAGGGATCAAGGCGGAAGCGGAGGCTACATGGCCAGGTTGGCATTTCCCAAGGCCCAGACAGCCCATGCCCCAGTGCCCAACAGATCCTAGTACCCACCTCCTTCCTGACCCCCATTCACCAAGAGTAATGTATAGGTAAGCGCTGAAGGGGTGTGTGGTGCCCACAGGCCACCAGCCTTCTGGGCGCAACCCGACACTACGGGGGGGGGGGGAAGAGTAGGCAAAGGGGCGGGGGTCCACTGGGCCGCTTCAGGAATGTGCTGACTTAGTGGTTTTGGAGTCAGAGGGAGGGGCCTGAGGCAAGCCCCTAAGCTTGAGACAGCTTACTCTACAGCTTGGGGCCCCTGCCAGGTTTAGTGAGGGATACGGAACCACAGCTGCCAGGGTAGGGGGTGACCCTGGGGGCCAGCCCGTCCAACCACCTCTTCCTTCCAGAGGCCGCCTTGGCTCCGCTCAGGCACCGGGGGTGTGTGTGCAGGGGTGTGGGGACAGAGGCTGTTCCAGGCCCTGCAGCGGAGGCCCAAGGGGGAAGACAGGATGGGGGGAGGGGGCGGTGGGAGAGGAAGAGGGGATTTCCGGGAGGGGGAGGGGTCGAAGCTGCCGCAAGGAACTGCAGAGGGAACGGGGTCTGACAGCCCCCTCCCCTGCTCCTTCCCCGAGGCAGTCGGGGTGGGTCCGCTGGGGGTGGGGTGGGGGGCTCGGGCCGGTTTCATCTGGAAAGCAGAGGGCCCGGGAAGGGGCGGTGGCGGAGACAATGGGCCGTGTGTCTGTGTATGTGGGGGGGGGTGAAGTGTGTACAGTGCAGGGAGGAGGGGGGCGGCCGAGCAGCTCGTGCGGGAGCATCTGTGAGGGCAGGAGCCCAGGCTTCGGGACGCCGAACAAAGGGCCTGCTGAGATTTCCGCCAGCTCGGGGCTGCCGAGAGGAGGAGGAGGAGGGCACGGAAGCCGCGGCGGGAGCCTCTTGCCCCGGCAGCATGGCCGGGACTCCTGACAGTGGCCAGCCGGCCGCCCTGCGCCCCGGGGCGCGACCTCCTCGGACCCCAGCTCCAGCGGCCGACCCAAGGCGGGAGGAGAGGGGCTGCACCGGCGCAGGGAGCCCTGGAGCCTGACCCGGTCCCGGGAGGGCAGGCAGAGGGCGTCCAGCACAGGCAGAGTGCGAGCCCTTCCACATGGCGGGGCGGCCACCCCACTCCCCACGGACATGCAGTGAGCAGCACCCCTGGGGCGGGGACGGACCCCCGCGGGCGCGGGCCTCCCTCTATTGTGCGCACGCCAGCAGCCCAGGCCCCAGAGCTAAGCCAAGCCTCCTGGTGCAGCTGTGTGACCCTGGGCAAGTCGCAGCCATCCTTGAGATCGCTTTCATCATTTATAAACCGGGGAGACAATAGTTGCCGTTCCCGGCCGTCCGCAGAACCCCCAGGGGCAGCCAAGCGCCCGCCCCGGGCTGCCGCGCGCTCGGCGGGTTCTCCGCCCTCCCCGGCCCCAAAAGGATCCAAAGTTCAAGGATGAGGCCCCCCTCTGGCTCTCAGGTGACGGGGGGCAGGCCGCGCGGCTCGCGCGGTCAGAATAGGAAGTTTGGCCATCTGCGCTCCCGATTCCCACCTGGGCAGGTGGGACCCGTGAGTGGGATCCTCCCTCTGGGCCTGACGTCACCGCTGCCCGTGACGTCAAGGTGGGCGCCCCTGAGGTCACGGGCCGGGTCGCAGACAAAGGCCCGGCGGGTCTTGGGCCTGCGCCTCCCCGCGCCCTCCCCATGCAGGGTTCCCCGGCCCGGCCCGCACCTGAGGAACTCCTGTAGGCAGGTGTCGCAGAAGCGGTGGCCGCAGGTGGAAACCTGCACGGGTTCACGCATGGGCTTTCCGCACAGCGGGCACAGCAGCCGCCGCTTGGGCTTCTCCAGGAACTTGTAGTCGAAGCCGGGCATGGCGGGCGGGCACGGGCGAGCGGGGCCGGGCACGCGGCGGCCCCACAGCCGGCGGCCCCACAGCCCGCGCCTCGCTCCGGCCGCGCTCCCGGCTCCGGGCGGCGCCGACTGGCGGCCGCGGTCAGGGCCCGGCCCCGCTCGCCCGCCGGAAGAGGGGGCGGAGCCGCAGCCGCGCGGTCCTAGCGTCCCCCCGGAGGGCTCGCGGCCGCGAGGGCCGGCTGCGGCCAGGCCCGTCCACTCCCGGAAGCCGGGGCTGCAAGCAGCGGTCGTGGCTCCGCGTCTCCCGAGAGCTGGGGGAGGGGGCGTGCCTGGCGCTGGGTAGGGGCGGAGGGCCCCGGGCGAGTGCGCGTCGCCGGAGAGCACGGGCCGCGCCACAAAGGCTGGGCGCCGCGGGGCCAGCAGCTCGGCCTCGGGGGCCGTGCGCCCCCCGGGGACCCGGGCCCCCAGCTTCCAGGTGCTAGGCAGCGAAACCTGGCAACCAGATCCGAGGAGCCGGGCTGGGACGAGGAGGCCGGCCTGGGCGCTGGGCCAGAGCAACCTCTGTCCCGGCCCCCGGCTGCGCCCACATTCCTTCCTCGGCCGCGGCCGGGCCCAGCCCACTCCAGGGGTGTGTGGCCGCCACCCCCACCTCTGAAGAGAGCGCACTCCAGGCAGCAGCCGAGACTTTTATTCCTGAGAGTAGCAGTCGGCCGCGGAGAGGTCTGCTCAGACGACTCCCCTCCCCGCCCACGTGGGTCTGGGGAAAGGCAGGGGTGGGGGGCGGAATGCGCATCTGCAGGGCAAGGACGCTGCGCCAGGTTGCAGGTCTCCTGTATTTACCTTATTCAGCTGCAGGATAAAGGTGTGGGGGCGGTGCAGGCCAGCCTAAAGGGCCAGTCTGGGCGGCCTGAGCTTGTCCTGTTCTCAAACTTGGACCTCTCTCCCCCACTCGTGGGCACCAGGGACACATTTCCTAGCTGGACCAGGGACAGGCAGCTCTGCCAGCTTGGGAGGCATTGGAGACCACCCAGTTTGGCAAGGTTTGACCCCAGCTAGGCTGCACTCAGGGGTAGATTCAGAAGAGAGGTGCTGGGGAAACATTTTGGGTTGAGGTTTGGTTTGTTGAAAGATTTATTTGAAAGGTAGAGTTCCAGAGAATGAGAGAGAGGTTTTTCCAAACCCACATGGCAGCAGTGGCCAGGCCAAAATCACGAAGCTGGACCTCCATCCGGGTCTCCCACATGGGGGCAGGAGCCCAAGGCCTTCGGCTGTCCTCCACTGCTTTCCCAGGTGCATTAACGGGGAGCTGGATTGGAAGAGGAGCAGCCAGGCTTGAACCTGAGTCCACATGGCTTAACCTGCTGTGGCCACAATGCAGGTCCTGGGTTGGAGCTTCTGTACTCAAAGCCAGAAGTGGGGTGGGGCTTCGCAGGCCCTTCCTCCCCTCTCTTGGCATTCAGCGGTGTGCACTTGGTAGGATGCTTACAGAGAAGCCATAGCAGGGTGGGTGCTCCAGAGATGGGTCCAGGGGGCCTCAGGTGGGGGCTGGCTCATCTGTGATGGCTGCAGGATACCAAGGAGAACTCCTGCAGCCTCCGAGGGCTGGAGGGGGTGATGTGCCTCCAGCACTGTCCCCTGCCACTCCCACTGGGCCCACCAGGGCCAGAAATGGTGATAAAAAGTCACTTGGACCCCAGGGCTGGAGGAAAAAAAAATGTACAAATGCCATGGGAGTGCAGTGGAGGCAGCCACCTGCACCCACTTCTGGTAGGAACATCAGTGCACCCTGCAGCTGCTACTTTCATTCAGCTGGGGATGGAAATGGCATTTGGTGTGGACTGTGACCGTGGCCAATGGGTATGTGGGCAGGGCCCATCTGAATTCCCCTGGTGTGGGTGAGGTGGGCAAAGGGGAATACTCACGCCGAACAGCCAGGAGCGTGTTTCCGTGGCAGCAGGACACCGATGTCACGGTGTAAGGGTGTGTCTCATCCAGCTGCACCAGCCGAGGGAGACCAGCATCCTCAGGCTGCCTTCCCAGGCGGCCTCGGGCCCCCTTGCCCCAAGAATACACTTCCCCCTCTGCGGAGACAGATGCACCAGGGGAGAGAGCAGGAAGGTGCGCACAGCCCAAGCACCTCATTGCTCTAGACCCGACCCACCAGGAGGAAATGGCCAAGTCCATTGTCCCCAAGTGTGAGAACCCATGCTGCCCCCTGCGTCCACCCCTCACCTGCCCCGATGGCTACAGTGAAAGCATCCCCACAGGCCACCATCGCCATCTTGACGCCCTCGAGGCCTTGGACCTGACAGGGTGTTCGGCTGCCTTGGCGAGCACTGGTGCCCAACTGCCCGTGCTGATTACTGCCGAAAGTGTAGCAATCTCCAGAAGCTGGGGCCGGAGGGACAAGGAGAGGGGCCTCAACAGAGAAGCTAAGGAAGCCAGGGGAGGTCCACCGCCACCCCCCCACCCCACCCCAAAGCCCAGCCTGGCACTCACAGGCCCTCACCGGCCCTCACCAGTCACAGCAGCTGAGTGAGCAGTGCCCAGGTCCACACTCAGCAGGGGCTCCTGGTCCAGGGGTGCAGAGCCCAGAGGCGTGAAGCTCAGGGCCTCCTCCACTTGCTGGTGGGGAGCAGGCTCCTCCCCCAGGGAAGCACGGTCCAGGCCCAGCTTATTGAACCTGAGGGCAGAGTCAGGAGGGAAATGCAACCAACAGCTCGCTACACCTGAGATGCCCGTCTCCTGGTGAGATCCCCGCTGGGCGGCAGGGTGGTTAACCAGACCAGGGTACCTCCTTACCTGTTGCTCCCACAGGCCAGCGCTAGGCCAGCCACAGTGAGCACCATGGAAGAGTCAATGCCACATACAATCCGCTGGGCATCCTGCCCTGGGGGCATGGGGACCTGCTGGGGGCAGTTGTGGGAGTCCCTGGTCCCCAGTCCCAGCCTGCCTACAGGAAGGGGAAACCAAAGATGGGGGGAGCATGGGGTCAGTTTGCACTTCAGCTTTTTTTTTTTTTTTTTTTTTTAAAGATTTATTTTTATTATTTTTTCATTGGAAAGGCGGATATACAGAGAGGAGAGACAGAGAGGAAGATCTTCCGTCCAATGATTCACTCCCCAAGTGAGCGCAACGGGCCAATACTATGCCGATCCGAAGCCAGGAGCCTCTTCCGGGTCTCCCACGCGGGAGCAGGTTCCCAAAGCTTTGGGCTGTCCTCGACTGCCTTCCCAGGCCACAGGCAGGGAGCTGGAAGGGAAGCGGGGCTGCCGGGATTAGAACCGGCACCCATATGGGATCCCGGGCGTGCAAGGCGAGGACCTTTAACCACTTGCGCCACCGCGCCGGGCCCTGCACTTCAGCTTTGAGCAAGGCCCACCAAGAAGCTGTGTGAGCCAAGGCTGTTCATGCCCCCTCTGGCTTTAGTGCCCAGCCTGATGCCTGAGTCACTGAAGGCCTTAATAGTTCCTGCTGCACACATAAAAACTCCCTCATTACACAGTAAGTACCTGAAGGAAGTCACATCTTGTTTGTCTGGCCTCAGTCGCCCAGGCCAGGATGGACCCACCTAGCACCCACCTAAAAGGCTGTGGGATGAATTAATTTGAGAGCACTGAAAGGGAAGGGGTGTGGGGGAGGGTATAAGAGGGAGAGGGCATGCTGGAAGGAGGCCTTACCACCATGTCCACGACCCCAGGCAAACAACTCTCGCTCAGTGGACAGGGCCAGCACGTGAGAGGCCCCACAAGCCACTTGTACCATCTCGTAGCCCAGCAGAGCTTCCACAATGGTGGGCTAGAGAGGAAGAAGAGGCAGGGGGCACTGGGGACTGGCCCACAGGCCTCAGCACCCAGTGTGGGGGATGAAATTAGAAGCAAGAGATTCTCAGGAAGTGCCGTTTCTTTTTAACTGTAACATTTCCCTCTTTCCCCAGCCCCCCACCCCCAACACACGGGGGCGGGGAGCAGGGAGCCACTCATTCGAAAAACCGGGTCTTTCTGTAATTCCCCTGATGCTACCCACAGCAGGTGCAGCCCAGGAGCCAGCAGCGCCTGTGCCACTGGGGACTCCCCTGTCCCCAAGCCAGTGTCGGATCTCAGAAGCAGGCTCTCTGCCAACTCCCTACTTCCCTTTTCCCAGGGCGAACTCAGGATGTGCCCACCTGGCTGATGTCGGTCAGGCTGCCGTGGCCCAGGCACCCATTACTGCCACTGCCAAAGGTCATGATGATGCCACGGTCTAGTGGAGGAAGGTGAGGAGGAGAGAGAGGGAAGGTCAGACTGCCCATCTAGGGAGGTCAGTCCACCTGGGGTCTGGAGGAGCCAGACAGACGGCAGATGTTCTGAGCCTCAGTTTTCTCATTTGTCAAGTGGGGAGGATGCAGTAGCTCCCTTGCCAAGCCCACTGAGTAGGGTAAGAGAGGTGGAGGTAAGTGAGCCTTGATAGCTGGGCATTGGAAGCACTAACTCAGCAACAGGGAGCACCATAGGTTAGCTGTGCCCTTGACAAGAAGCAAGTTGCTCCTTGGGGTTTTCTCACCGGTCAGGCAGGCTGTAAAGAGGTCCCCGCATGCCACGTGCTTGATGGTCACGCCTGACTGGCCTTCCAGGAAACGTGACACGAACTGTGCTTGCGGCTGCTCCACAGCCCCGGGGAGCAGGGCGCCTCCACCAGCGCCCAGGGGCGGGGCCTGTGGGTGATGGGGGGGTGCCTGAGCAAGGTCCCCAGCCCCCTGCTGGACCCCTACCCCCACCCCTTGCAAACCCTCCATGGCCTGCCCACCTCCCACAGGATGAGACGCCCGGAGCGAGTGACCCCCGCCTTCTGCGTGCGCCCCGCGGCCACTTGGACCACTTCGGTGTTGAGCATTGGCAGTCGCAGGGGGGCGCTGAGGCCGCCGCCCCAGGCATACACGGACGACAGTGGCGGCGGAATGGCTGGCCTCCCGGGTCCCCGAGGGACGCCTGCAGAGACAGTGTGTGCAGCCCATCAACTGGTAGTCACAGGGGCCATGGAGACCCTGCAGCTTGTCCACACTTACCCCTGCAGCGGGCGCTGCTGCTCCTGCTCACCACTGGTGGGCGGGTGGCCAGGGACTTCTCTGCCCTGTGGGATCATAGTTTGGGCTTCAGGACGTGGACCCTCCCAGGCATTCCACCGTGTTCCCCTATCCTCCACTCCCTCCACGGCCTGGGACCCTTGCCCTGGCACTGGCCTGCGCATGCGGACACTGCCCAGGTCAGTGTGCAGGTTGAGGAGGGCTCGCATGCAGAGGGGCTGTGCCATGATGTGGCTGAGTGGCGGCCGCTGGGCAGGCTCCAGGCTGAGCAGACTGAGTACGAGCTGGCGTAGCTCAGGGCTGTACCGGTCCGAGATGGGTGCAAAGGTGCCACTCATGATCTTCAGCACCAATGCTGGCAGGTTCTGCAAGGTGCCAAGGTGGGGGAGGCGGGAGCTAGTGTCAGCCAGAGTCGGCTGGGCTTTTAGGCAGAGCAGTGTTTACCCTGCCCCAACTCCGGAGTTCCAACCACTGCCCCTCTGCCCCCAGGGCCTTGTGTGAGCAAGGGATTCCAAGAATTATCTGGAAGCTCAACCTTGCTTCCAGGAATCCTCAGGCAGACAGGAGAAGCCTCAGGCTGTACTAGAGAGTATCATAGCTCTGTCCCTGGGAGAGTGGGGACCTCTGTGAAATGAGTAGACCCCGGCCCAGTTCTCAGAACTCCAAAGTGAGGCTGACCCCTACACACCCCTGCAAATGGCATGATTGGCCACAGAGTGGCACTGAGGACTGCCAGGAGAGCAGGGCAGAGTCCCTACTGGCCCCTTCCAGCTGTGTGTACTCACGGCGGCCTCGAAGGCCCTCTTGAGGCTGGCCAGCTCATAGAGCACACAACCCAGAGCCCAGATGTCACTCTTCTGGTTGTAGGGCTTGCCTTCACACAGCTCAGGGGAGATGTAACACGGCGTGCCCACCACCTGTGAGAGCAAAGCGGACATCACAGTCCTAAGGGAGCGAGGCACACCGACTCTACCCTCAGGCCCATTTGGGGACGGCTTCCCCTTAGAGCCAACCATGGGGCTTTTCCCACCCACCCACAGCAGCTGAGGGGCCCTGGCTTCTGCCGGTAGCGGTGCTCAGAAGGTACTGACTCCCGAGCCGCCCAGCACCTCCACCCGCCCTTCCATGCCTGGGTACCGTGTAGGCCTTGCTTTTGCTGCTGAGGATCTTAGAGATGCCGAAGTCACCGATCTTCACCACCATGCGGTGCTTGTCCAGCAGGATGTTCTGGGTCTTGAGGTCCCGGTGCAGGATGAGGTGGGTGTGCACGTGGTGCAGTGCCAGCAGGATCTGCACGAAGAAGTGCAGGATGGTCTCCTCCTCCAGCAGGGAGTTGCAGCGCTTCTGGATGAACTCTGCCAGCGTGCCACCTGGGGCCCAAGGAACCAACTGGAATCCAGGGTTGTCCATGCTCCCCCTCCCCTCTACTGCTGCAGCCCCATCTTCTGGAACAGTACCCTGTACCCTGAAACCAGAGAGGGCATGAAGCCTGCCAGGATTACACAACTGGGTCGGAACTCTAAACCTCTGATTCATCAGCCATGCCCATCCAGGGGAAAGACACCATTGGACCCTGTCAACCCAAAGCGGTGAAGGACGCTCGCAGCCAAGCCTCTGTGAGGAGGTGGGCCTACCTGGTGCATACTCCATGGCGATCATGAGGGCCTTGTCCTCCAGGAAGTTCTCGTAGTATTCAATGACATTAGGGTGGTTGAGCAGCTTGAGCACCTGGCACTCGTTCTGGGCCGCCTGCCGCTCCTCCTTGGTCATCTGGTCCACAGGGATCTGCTTGATAATCACCAGCTTCTGATCAGCCTTGCGCAAGCACAGGTGCACAATCCTGGGGACACGGAGTGGGGGCTGAGCACAGAGCAATGCAGTATGGACTCAAGAACTGGACGGTCCCTCGAAGAGGGGCAGGGCTACCGTGGCCCAAAGGTCATCGAAGCAAGAGCACAGGACACTGAGTGAGCTGGCCAGTGGGGAGACGTGATCATAGACTCCGTGTGACATGTCTGCTTTACCACAGCTACAAGGAGCTGGGAGTTACGTGCCTAGGTTCAAATCCTGGATCCTCCTGTTACTATTTATACCCCTTGGAGATATTAGTGGGCAGCATGTGGAGAACAGGGCTGCTGAGAGGATCCGGGGAGGAAAAGGCATGAAAAGCACTTAGCGCGGTGTTTGGCACGTAGACGCTGGTCAATGAATGGAAACCAGGTCCACCATTATTCCATTTCCATTCCTGGCCTGTGTCCATCAGAGCAAGGGTCATCTCATTCACCACTACTACACAGCCCAGTGGTCAGCACACGGGAGTTGAAGAAGTGTTTGCTCAGCAGACGACTAGAACTTGACCGTGTAAGTCTCCAATGCTCACCTCTAGCTCAGGTCTCTCCTTGGAGCCCCGGCCCACACGTCATCTCCACCCAAACGGCTGACCACCAGCCTACATTTTTAACAAATTAAAAAACAAAATCCTTGATTCCCAGCCCTACACCTGTCCTTCCTGTGTTGCTTCCATCTCCACTGATGACAACACCGTTCCTTTTCTTTCTAGAATCCTTCCTCCAGCCCATGCTAATGTGTTGGCAAGTTTTGTTTATACCACCACAGTACTACAGACCAATCGAATTCCTCTGTGCTCTCTGCTACAACCCTTGTCCAGGCCAAGTTAGTACAACCTGAAAATGCTGTACCAGCCTCTAAAGTAGTCCCACTCATGCCCGTCACTCTCCCATCTAAATTCCATAATGGTTGTCAGAATGGCATTTTTAAAATGTAATCATAGGCCCAATGTGATGGTTCACCTGGCTAATCCTCTTAACTCAAAGCCTTGGGAACCCATATTGGAGCTGCTTTACTTCCCATCCAGCTCCCCGCTGGATTTTTTATTTTTATTGGAAAGGCAGATATACAGAGAGAAGGAGAGACAGAGAAGAAGCTCTTCCATCCAATGATTCACTCCCCAAGTGGCCACATCGGCTGGAGCTGAGCCAATCTGAAGCCAAGAGCCCGGAGCTTCTTCCAGGTCCCCCACAGGGGTGCAGGGTCCCAAGGCTTTGGGCCATCCTCTACTGCTTTCCCAGGCCACAGGCAGGGAGCTGGATGAGAAGTGGAGCAGCAGGGATAGGAACAGGGATCCATATGGGATCCTGGCCACTAGGCTATGGCGCCGGGCCCTAAAATAAATTTTAAGCAAACAAAATCACAGGAGATCATGTCTCTGCTGTAAAACTCCTCGTCATACTGCAAATCAATTCAGCCCCTTTGCCTTGTCATATTCTTTCCGGTGTTGGGATGGATCTTCGCTGTCTGTTAATAACTGCTCGTGATTGCTCCGATCTGACAAGTGTCTTAGCAATGTCTTACTCACTGTGTACTTTCCCTACGATCTGTCAGAGCTCTGAGAGGGGAAAGACCACGCCCGGTTACGTCCTCACTGTAAACTCAGGAGCCCCTGAGTAAAGGACCTAGCAGAACGCAGTCAGCACCTGCAGGATGCCGGGGCGTGGCCTCCGGGGGCGTGGCCTGGGCGGACGGCCGTGGGCGGGGCCACGGGGCGGGTGTCAGTGGGCGGGGCCTCCGCGCCCTGCCCGGGAACGGAAGCCTGGGCGGGGCTTGGCGGCGCGGCGCGGGGCGCGATCCCGCCGTCCACGTTAGGGTCCAGCCGAGCCCTCCTCCCTGGAAGATCCTCCCCAGGACCCCGGCTCACCCGAAGGCGCCTCTCCCCACCACTCGGATCCGCTCGTACTTCTCCATGTCATTTCTCAGAGTTGACTTCCGGAATCCTACTTTTAGCCTCCGTGGCGCATGCGCGGCCCCGCCCCGACGCCCCGCCCCCTCGGGCTGGCGGGCGGGGCTCGGCGTGTAGTCCGTGGGTTCGCGTCCCACCTGCGGCCGCGGCGCGCGCTCGGACGCCCTCACGGCCCCGCCACCCCACGCGGGGTCCCAGCGTCAGGGTATTAACGCCGCTCTTTGAGCGCATCCTACATTGGCCAGCACGGGGTTAGCCGCTTCCCACAGGCGGCCGGACTCAGCCGTCGCCCAGTTTCTCAGACGAAGAGGGACGCCGCACCCCGAGCGTTGCCCCCTGGTTGAGAAGCGAGGACTGGCCGTGACCGCGCGCCCGTAGGCGCCGCTGCTTCGGGAAGATAAGGCGGGTTCTGCCTAGCGCGCAAACGATAAGCGCGAGCAGCGCCGAGCCGCGCGCCCCTGCGGGGCGGGGAGCACGACGGGCCCCGAGGTGGCCGCGCAGGAGCCGGGGGAGCCCGGGCTGGGCCAGTGGCCGTGGCAGCTGGCCGGCCGTCGTGTCGGCGCTCCCAGCGCGGCCTGGCGGCCCGACCCTGGGCATGGCGGGGCTGGAGGGGACGGAAGGGGCGCCGCGGGCTCCCCTCTGCAGGCTGGTTCACACGGAAGGACGAGGCCTGGAGCAGAGGGAGTTAATTCCAGGTCCCCCCACCGGCGCCGCCTGCCCCGCGGGAGCGCTATAAAAGCTGGGCGGTAAGCTGAGGGGTGATCATTAGCTAAGGGGCTAGCGTCCTTGGGTTTGAGGGGCCGGGGATGGGAGGGAAGGGGTGTTGTGTGTGCGGCTCCCGCCCTCGGGCGCTGACCGCCGCGGACAGGCTAGTGTCGCCCGGCCAAGCTGCCCTGCACGCAGAGGGCGAGGGGGACCGTGGGGAGGGCGGGAGGCGGCGGCTCACCCGCGACACCCGTGCGCTCTCCTGGAAACCGACTCGGGAGCCGCGCGGGGATTAATAGGTAACCTTGGAGTCCTCGGGAGAGGCAGTCGGCGCCCCTGGGCCTGCGCACTGCACGACTCTAGCTTCTGACCCCTCAGTTCTTCCTCTTGCACCCTCCTCACCGTCCCACCAGCAGTGGGCGGTTTCCCCTTCAGACCAGGGTCCGCCTAACTTGCCCCCCAAACCCGTGCTGTCCGCGAACGCTGCGCGCCACAGCGAGGGGAGGCTGACACCCAGCGGCCAGGGGACGCAACTGTCCCTGGCCGCCGCGGGAGAGTGAGGGTCACCCGGGCAGCGGGGGCTAAGCGGTAGGCTTCCCAGCCCGGGCCTGCAAGGAGCTGGGGGAGGACTGGGGGAGCTGCACGAGGACTGTGACAAGCCTCTTGGCCTCAGGAGCCCCGGGGCGGGCCGGGAGGAGAGTGGCGATGGGTGACTCAACAGTTCCTAAGCATCACTCGTGCAGAGCGCCAGAGAGGCAGGTAAACACGTCGGTCTCTGGCCAGAAGCAGCCAGTGAGTGGCTCCATGGAAGGAAGAGGGTCTGGACCGTGGGGTCCTGACCCCCGGCTGGGGGCCCGGACTTTGGGGGCCTTGGGTGAGCGACGGGTCCCGCCCAGCTCTTCCCAGAAAGGAGTTGAGGGCGGAGAGAGTGCTGAGGTGTCCGCCCCAAAACGGGGGAGCCCAAAACGGGGGAAAGTGGGGACTCGGGTGAACGAGGTCGAGCAAGCCAGGGCGGCTGGGGACTCCGTCGGCAGTCGGGAGGCGCCCGCCCGGGGAGCCTTGGCGACGGCGGTGGCCCCGGGACGGGCCGCCATCCCCACCACGTCCACCAGAGCCGGGCGGGGCCCGGGAGGCCCCAGGGAGAAGGGGCTCGCGCCCTGCGCGGCTGCGGCGCCGGAGGGGCGGGAGCTGGCGGCCGGGGCGGGGCGGGGGCGCGGGCAGCGGAGGCGGGGAGGACGGGGAGGAGCGAAGGGGCCTAGAGGGCTCCGCGAAAACTGTGTGTCGCTGGCGGCCGGTGCGAGAGGTATCCGGGTTGGACCGGCCCGAGTAGGAACTCTGTTCCCAGAACAGCCCGAGGAAGCAGCCTAGAGGGCGGACAGACCGACGGCAGGGAGGACCAGCATGTCCCTGCTGCTGCACCCCGCCCCGCCGCTGCTGCTGGGAGCCACGCTAACCTTCCGAGCGCTCCGGCGCGCGCTCTGTCGCCTGCCCCTGCCCGCTCACGTGCGCGCAGACCCCCTGCGCACCTGGCGCTGGCACAACCTGCTGGTCTCCTTCGCCCATTCTATTGTATCGGGGATCTGGGCGCTGCTGTGGTGAGTGAGCGACTTGGGGGTGCGGGGGTTAGTGAGATGGGCAGGGGCTCCTGCGAGCGGCCCCCGAGTTGCTGTCCCCATCAGTCGGGCAGGCTGAGGCCATGCTTCTCACCTGATTCCCAGCCAACCAGCAGCAGCTCCGGGAAAACCCAGGCACCTGGTTTTCGGCCAAGCCCCTCCTCAGCCCCAGCCAGCCAATAGCGCAAGCCCAGACTCCCCTGGGACTGGCTCGGGGAATGTGGGAGGTGAGGGTCTTTGGGGGTGCCGACATGAAGAGGGTCTCCCTCTTTCCCTCCCAGTGTATGGCAGACTCCCGAGATGCTGGTGGAAATCGAGACAGCATGGTCGCTCTCTGGCTATCTGCTGGTCTGCTTCTCAGCAGGTAGGTCTTGCCCAGGAAGTATTTATGGGCAGGGGAGGAAGAAACTTTGTTCAGGCCCCTTCACGATCTCCCCCCGACCCCGACAGGGTATTTCATCCATGACACAGTGGACATCGTGGTTGGTGGTCAGACCAGAGCTTCTTGGGAATACCTCGTCCATCATGTCATGGTGAGTGAAGCGCAAGGTAGATTAGCTTCTTGCCCAGTTTTTATGATCCCACGAGGGAGGTTGTGTCTTCACCCCAGCCCATCCCTTTGCCCTACTTCCCTTGCTAGGATGCTCCAGGTTGGCACTGTCATTGGTTGCTGGTTGAGGCCTGCAATCCATAGCCTCACCCCAGAGGGCTGAGAATGGTACCCAGTGCCAGCACCTGTGGGCAGGGACCCAAGTGTAACCATGCTGAAGGGTGTTCTTCACCCTGGGCACTGCCAACCCCACTTCAGGGCCCTGGAGCTTGCAGGAGCCTCCACCCTGGGTCACCCACTGACTGCTGTCTCCTAGGCCATGGGCGCCTTCTTCTCGGGCATCTTCTGGAGCAGCTTCGTTGGCGGGGGTGTCTTGACACTGCTGGTGGAGGTCAGCAACATCTTCCTCACCATTCGCATGATGATGAAGATCAGCAACGCACAGGACCACCCTTTCTACCGGATCAACAAGTATGTCAACTTGGTCATGTACTTCCTCTTCCGCCTGGCCCCTCAGGCCTACCTCACAGGTTTCTTTCTACGCTATGTTGGCCAGAGGACTCTGGGCACCTTCCTGTTGAGCATCCTGCTCATGCTGGATGTGATGATCCTCATTTACTTCTCACGCCTTCTGCGCTCAGACTTTTGCCCTGAGCGTGCACCCACGCGGCGCCAAAAAGACAAGTTCTTGACTGAATGACCCAGAACCTAGGAGTTGTGTCAAGGGGCAGCAGCAACAACCTAGAACGGGACTCAGCCCCACATCTGGGTGTCCTGGCCACCTTGAGCCTGCACCCACACGATTGAAAACACTGATGAAAGCACTCCTCTGAAGTCCTTGTCTTTTCTTGGGCAAGGGGTGAGGAAAGCTGACCGACCGGTTGGACTTGGTCGTCAGGTGTGTGAAGACAAGACTACCAAAACGCCAAGTAGCCCACAATGGATACTCATGAAAACTAGCCCTTGCCCAAGCCTCTTCCAGGGATAAAGGGACTGGATAAATAGCATATCTCCCAGCCTCGAGGTTCTAGAATGCCCTTAAAGTCTGAATAACAAATGTGGTGAGAGGCCTGAGGGCTCCAGCAGGATAAGTGGATCAGAAGTCTTGGGCCATCCTGTGACTCAGTAGGCTGTGATATCCCAATCCCAGCACGTCCCCCCCGCCCACAACCCAACCAGAGTGATACAAAACCAAGAAGCATATGTATGGTGAAAAACATATATTTAGATAAGAGAGAGAGCTGGATGCAGTTTAGATGATCCCAATCTGAAAAACAAAAGAAAGCTTTGTTACTGGAGCTGCAATGTGAACATTAAGCTGGGAGATCTTATTTTAGGGACAGGGGCGCAGTCAGTCAGTCAGGACTCATCAGCAAGTCAGGCTTTGGTCACTCACAGGCATCATTTGCACCCAGGGGAGTCACAGAATTTGTAGGACAGGAAGCTTACTTTGTTGGCAACATCCAGAGCATCATAATCGGGAGCCAACCGCACGTACGCCTTCTTTTCTCCATCGGGCCTGGGGAAGAGAAGGAAGCCTTAGTCCTGCTGGCACAGCCCTGTCACACCTGCCCCTGGTCTCCTGGCGCATCAGTGGTTCCTTTGTTCAGGTCATTCTTTTCCGAATAGTGAATTTTCCATCATTTGCGCAGACAGGGCTAGGGAAGCCACTTCTCATGGGAAATGCCACAGGTCATTTCGAGACTGAAACCCAGGTACTCTGGCAAACTTTCACCTCAGTGAAGAAAATTAGCACTGCTCCATAAGCCAAGTCCTAGCAATCTCCCCAGGTCCACCCTCCTTAGAAACCCTGACCCCCACAGCAGCAGCATCCAGGGACTTTATGTCACACCTATGTACTTGTTCAGGGTGCAGCCCCTCCAGGTACCTGATCAGGGTATTGACTTTGGCCACATCAATGTCATAGAGTTTCTTCACGGCTTGTTTGATCTGGTGCTTGTTGGCCTTGACATCCACAATGAACACCAGTGTGTTGTTGTCTTCTATCTTCTTCATAGCGGACTCTGTCGTCAGGGGGAACTTGATGATGGCATAGTGGTCAAGCCTGGGGGGAGTCAGAATGGAGTCACCTGGACAGGGCCAGCAAAGACAGCACAGACAGCAGTCCCTGTCCTGGAGCTAGGGCCATGAGAGCCTGGGTGCATCAGACAATGAGGTGCAATCATCTTCATCAGACTTTGGTCGCTAAATAATGTCATCATGTGCACCCTGGGCTGAGCCACCAGCCGGCGGCAGGCCCCTGGCCCATTCGGTGTCACTCAACTCTCTTACAAGCCTTTAAGCATGCTTCCATTAGCACATGCACAGGCTGGAGTGTCACTGGAAGCTGTACCCTTGCCCCTCTGCAGTCAGTGAAAACCCACTCTGCTCCAGACATCAGCTAGAGTCATTTATTTATAGCTCCAGCTCAAAGTGGCCTAGGCATAACTTTCCTCTCTGGCATTCAGAAAAGCCAGAACACCCCAATCTTTTGTCCCCTTCTCCCCATGTCTCCCTCAAGCACAGTGTCAGAACTTTGGAGCAAATGCAAAAAAACTTCTATAGATTGTTGGTCAGCTACTGCTGCCCAGTAAGAACTGATTCCTCACTATCAATCAACAACTGATCTACATCTTCACCTTTTAACACTGGTAACTACTGTAACTACTTAAACACCATGAACAAGACACTGAAACTCCCAAGAAAATGGCCTTTCCCACGGCAGCCACGAGTGCATCAATAATTAACCCGAAAGCTAAGCTGGCCCAGGCGGCTCCAGCCAGTCCCCCTCACTGTGGAGTCCAGCGCGCCGGGGCAGTACTGACTTATTCCTCCTGGGGGCGCTCTTGCGGGGGTATTTGGGCTGCCGGCGCAGGCGCTGCGTCTTGGGCCTCCGGAAGGTGGGCGACGTGCGGATCTTCTTCTTCTTGTGGCTGTGGACACCTTTCAGCACCGCCTTCTTGGCCTTCAGGGCCTTGGCTTTGGCTTCGGCTTTGGGAGGAGCGGGAGCTGGAAGAGAACGAGGGTGCGGGCCTCAGACGGGGCCACTTCCGTCTGCGCCCGGTGGCAGGCGCCGCGTCCGCACGTGCATCAGCGGTTCCTTTGAAGACATCATTAGGCTTCAGGAAATCCAAAAAACAGCTTTCCATCATGTGCACGATGCGGGGAGCGAAGGCGACGCGCGAGCCCCGCGCCAGCGGGCGGCCCAGGCTGGCCGGATCGCGGGCTGGCAGTTGAACACGTCGCCCCGCGGAGACGCCGGCCGACACCCGCGTCCGGCACCAGGGCCGGCTGCCCAGCCCGCCCGGCTCGCCCGGCTCGTCCCGCCGGCCACCCTGCCTCCCCGGCCACCCTGCCTCCCCGAGCCCCTCTCCCCGAGCCCACGCGGCACACCCCACGCGCCCGGCCGCCCACACCCGGAGCGCCGCCGAAGCAGCCCGCTCAGCATCCAGCCCAGCCGCCGTCCTCCTAGTCTGCGGGGATCCCAAGGAAGGCAACCACGACCCCGAGCTCCGGGACACACACACACCTTCCTTCTTCGCCTTCGGCGCCATCTTGGTAAAAAGGGTTTCTCAGGGCTCTTCCCATGGGCTTATAGAGCCAAGTCTCACAGAGGACTCGCGATATCCTTATACTCAGCGCTGATTGGACAGGCTGTGGCGTGGCGCCTTCTGGGAATTGTAGTCAGCTGGTTTCCTCCTGAACGGGACAGAGCCTGAAGACACTCCGCTCCCCGGAAGGCGAGAAAACTTGGAAATGGCGGGTTCTGCAGACGTCTCCGTCGTCGGAGGCCTGTGGACGGCTGGAGCGAGGCGGCTTGCAGTCCGACCCCTTGTCTAGAACAGTTAAGAGTCTCCGGGAAAAGAGACCCCGCGACGCTGTCAATGCTGCAGGGAACACTAGGGTCGGAATGGCTGCTGATAGCATCTCCATCAGACGCACGTGTGGAAACTGTTGACGTTATCTTCACAGGTTTTTAAACAGATACATAAACGTTGTGCTAATTTATAAGGCGCCAGGTCATGTTGGGATACATGCATGCCTTGCGCAGTGTCCAGTCAGGGTGAATACAGCTCTCTCCAAACAAGCAGCGTTTCCTTAGAGCAGAAGCATTCAGAATCGCAGCTTCTGAGTTATAGAATAGAATAGTTACCGGCTCGGCGACAGGACCCCAGAACTTCTTAGTCCTGATTGCTACCCACTGCCCTTCGCTAGCTCCCTCCCATCCCTGCCTCCCACCACCCCTTCCCAGCCTCTGGCAATTCCCTGAGGTGAGGCCATTTTAAACATTTTTCGGGAGGTGGGAACTCCACAAGTGAGTGAGATCGTGGGATTATTTGTGTTTCTGTGGTTTGTTTCACCGACCATCCATGCGACATCTGTGGAAATCATGTTCAGAAAGGAATGCAATTTACCAACAGCATGGCAAATTCAGTCCAGGGTGTGTCCTGGGGGGTATCTGTGGGGCCCACTTGTCCTGTTCCCCCTTGTCATTTTTTTTTCTATTGAGGTTGCAAGCGCCCGAGCACAGGCCTGCCCAAGATTCGCGGGTTCCCCCACACCCCTCAGTCCCCGGTTCCCCGCTGGTCTTCAGCTCCAGATCAGTTCTTCACACTCAATTCCAGAAGCAGCAGGGCAGGCCAGCACACAGGGGGACAGGAGGGTGGCCTGTCAGGATCCGGTGTGAAGCCGGGTGACCCTTGAGTCCTGAGACGGGTTGTGTGCTCTCCTCTCTTCTACCCGGCCGAGAGGAGAGGAAAAAAGGAAAAGTTTTCTGCTTTTTTTTTTGGGGGGAGGGGGGGTCAGGATAATAGATGCCTTGTACCAGAGACCGATATCCCAGAGGAGCCCACCGCAAAGGGCCCAGTCGTCTGCTCGCTTGGCCTGCAGCGGTGCCACCCCCCTCCGTCTCCAGGCATTTGGACGACCGCCCTTGGTGGGCACCCCATCCCGCTGCCCTCCCCCGCGCTCAGGGCAGCAGGGCGAGCAGGGGCAGACTCCATGAGTCACGTCCCTGGCCTGGAGTCGAGGAGGGAAGCGCCGCCTCTCCTCGGGCCCCTTCTCTCCCCCTCTCCCCCCTCTGCGGGTTCTGGCCAGGCCAGATGCTGCGCAGCAGCCACCGAGTCTCCATCGCCGAGCCGGAGGGGTAAGGGTCCCCGGGAAGGCGCGGGGTGTGGCGGGGAGCAGCCACAGGGATCCCCCACCTGGACGGGCTGAAGACCAGCGGGGCACAGGGGACTGAGGGGCGTAGGATGCCGGCAGGGCCGGAGCCCAGGGGATGGCGGCCCGAGAGGGGCAGGGGGCGGCCCTTCTTCAGGAATTTCCGGGGATCGGGTTACAGCGTTCGCCCATCCCAGAGCCGAGGGAGATGCGGGTGGGCCGCGCGGCTTCCCCCCCCACCCCCCCGAACCTCTCGCCCCTAGCGGCCCACACTGACCCCGTGTGGCCGGGCCGCTTCAGCCCCGAGCGGTCGTCGGGTCTCCGCGTTCCCGGGTTGTTTGTGGGGTCTGCTCGGGCCCGGCCGGTCTCTCCCTCCCCTGACTCTTAGCCCCCCGCTGGCTGCCGAGGGGTCTCTCCGCCTCGAGTCGTCCTAGGGGCACCCCGGATCCCAGTGATTGTCTCCTCCCCGTGGCCCGCGGTGGTCGTAGCGTCCCCGAGGCTGCGGGCTCCCGTAGATTCCCAAGCTGTAGTCGGTTCTCCACGGGCCTGGCGGGCCGGGGCGGATCCTCAGGGTGGCCCCCAAAACCACAGACAAGATGAACATTCTGGCCCCGGTGCGGAGGGACCGCGTCCTAGCGGAGCTGCCCCAGGTAAGGCCACGTCGGGTTTCGGGCTTCAGCTGGGTGTGGGCAGGGCGGAGGTGGCACCAGACCAGTTAGAGAATTGGGCCCAGCCCTGCCACCCAGCTAGGCCTGCAGGCTCTGGGTGGTCCTCTCTGCATCACCGTTCCCTGGCAGACTGGCCGTGGAACCAGCTCCATTCTTGCTTACCCTGCTCCCCCAGTGCCTGAAAAAGGAGGCCGCCTTGCACGTGCATAAAGACTTCAACGCCCGGGTCACCTGCGCCTGCCAGGAACACCGGACAGGCACCGTGGGGTGAGTTTGGGGACACCAGAACAAGGAAGCATCCCAGAAAACCTTGTAGTCGTTCGTGAGGGTATACCCTCTCCTTTGGGCTCCTGTTTCAGCTCTTGTCAGCTGTTGCTTTTTTCAGCTGCTCTCCTATCAACAAAGTTGTGTCCTGTGAGGCTGTGGGGAAAAGTGACCCCTCTTTGCCTGCTGTGGAGAAGGGGGCCCACGTGGGGAGTGCTCACCTGCCCAGCTCCCCAGGTAATGGATCCAGGTGGACCATGGCCTATGGCCCTGAGTCTCATTGTGGGTTAGAATAGCCATTGCTGGATAATTGCTGGTACCATTCATTGTGCACCTACTATGTGCTAGGCAGTGTTGGGGACTATTACTGTCTTTTGTTACATGGAAAACACTTGGGGTGCATGGTTATTGCAGAAATGTTAAATGCAGAAGGGAACGTGTTCTAAACTATATGACATGGAGGGCAGGCATCTGGCACAGAACATGCATGGAGGCCTGTGTTATGTGTGCTGGTTATAGTCTTGGCTGCTCCACTTTTTTTTGTTCTTTAGATTTATTTATTTTTATTGGAAAGACGGATAAGATATACAGAAAAAAGGAGAGACAGAGAGCTAGAAGTTTTTCTAAATGGCAACAATGGTCAGAGCTGAGCTGATCCAAAGCCAGGAGCCAGGAGCTTCTTCTGGGTCTCCCATACAGGTGCAGGGTCCTAAGGCTTTGGGCCGTCCTCCACTGCTTTCCCAGGTCACAAGCAGGGATCTGGATGGGAGGAGAAGCAGCCAGAACATGAACCGTTGCCCATGTGGGATGGTCTAAAAATCTGTAAATCTGCCTTTCCAAAACAAATAAAACAAATAAATCATTTTTAAAAGAAAAAATAGTAACTATATTTAATTTTAACCTTTATAACAGCACAATAAAATTATATCAAATGTTCACTAGGAGCTGTTGGAAATGAAATTCAGAGAAGCTAAGGAACTTGTCCAAAGTCATGCAGTCAGTGTGAGAGCTGCAGTTCTGACCTGTGCTTGACGCTGAGGCAGGAAACACCATTCCCTCCAGACTCCTGGCTCGGGGAGCTGGTGCCTGGGAACCCTTGCTCCACACAGCCTGCCTCCCACCCAGTAGGGGGCAGGCTTGCTTTCTGCCCATTAGGTGGCATTAACACTCCCTAGGTGGGGGAAGAGCTGTTATCCACTCTTACCTCCAACAGATTTAAGATCTCCAAGGTCATTGTGGTGGGGGACCTGTCCGTGGGGAAGACGTGCCTCATTAACAGGTAAGGAGCTGCTGGAGCTGGGCTGGGGGAGGGTGCTAGACTGGCCAGGGTGAGGCCCAGGCCAGAGCATCCGGTGCTTTCTCAGGTTCTGCAAAGACACCTTTGATAAGAACTACAAGGCCACCATCGGAGTGGACTTCGAGATGGAGCGATTTGAGGTTTTGGGCGTTCCCTTCAGCCTGCAGCTGTGCGTGCCCCTCCACCCCAGCACCCACGTCCCTGCCCCCCACCCCCTTGGCCCTCACACCTGTGCTTCCTTCCTCCCAGGTGGGATACTGCCGGACAGGAGAGGTTCAAATGTATTGCGTCCACCTACTACCGAGGAGCTCAAGGTAAGGAGGGCGAGATGGTGCATGTGGGCCCACTCGTGCCTTTGTCCTCTGCCACTGTGGGGATCGGGGACTGGGGACAGCAGAGTTATCCTTGACCACCTTTCTGCCTCTTCTCCAGCCATCATTATTGTTTTCAATCTGAATGATGTGGCTTCCCTGGAACACACCAAGTACGTGAGGATGCTGGAACGTGTGGGAGGTTCTGAGAAGGAGGATGGGCAGGGAGGACAAAGAATGGAGCTGGGACCTGAGAGGGCACGAGTGGGCATGTGGTGGGTGCCCGGGGCCCCAGTGGGGCTGCCCCAACCCCAGCTCCTCAGCGTCCCTGTGTACGGCAGGCAGTGGCTGGCTGATGCACTCAAGGAGAATGACCCCACCAGGGTGCTGCTCTTCCTTGTGGGTTCCAAGAAGGACTTGAGTGTGAGTGTGTGAGTGGGGGGGCCTGCCCAGCCTGGTGAGGGGCCTCCTTTCCCCTCCGCATCTGACTGACCTTTCCACAGACTCCCGCTCAGTACGCACTCATGGAGAAGGATGCGCTCAAGGTGGCCCAGGAGATGAAGGCCGAGTACTGGGCGGTCTCCTCTCTCACTGGTGAGTTGGGGGCCTCAGGCCCCTCCCGTGCCCTCCTGCCAGCCTCTCCTCTCACTCCCTCATCTGTAGCCATGTACAATGTCTTCAGCCCCAGCACGGCCCCTCAGGACCCATCTGCTTCCCATGTCAGGTGAGAACGTTCGAGAGTTCTTCTTCCGTGTGGCCGCCCTGACCTTTGAAGCCAACGTACTGGCTGAGCTGGAAAAATCTGGAGCCCGGCGCATTGGGGATGCCGTGCGTGAGTGCCCATCTGGTTTAGGGCGGTAGGGAGCCAGGGGGCCCTGGGATTCCTGCTGCACGTCTTTCCCCTCTTCCTCAGGCCTCAACACTGACGACAGCAACCTCTATCTGACCACCAGCAAGAAGAAGCTTGCGTGCTGCGCCTGACGAGTAAGGGCACTGCTTAGAGACTGCCCACCCCGGGGCATCGTGGCACCCTGACTCCCTTAGGGTGCCTGTGCTGGTTTTCTAGACCACAGAGCTGCCCCTGGGGGCAGTACCCCTGGAGGGTTTGCTGGGACCATGCTAATAATTAATGCTTCCAGGCACCATGCCAAAGACTGGATGCCCTCCTGGATCTCCAGGGGCTGCGTGTGTATGCATGCGTGCAGGGCCGTGTCCCTGCATGCCTCGCAAGCCCAGCCCCACACTGTGCCTTATGCATTAAAACCTCTGAGTTAGTAGCACTTTGGGGACTGGAGTCCTTTGTCAGGCCTGAGGGATATGGAGTTAGGCAGGGCTGCTGGCTGCTGGGGAAGCTATTCCTGGGCCACCTCCCTGGCTTTGAGTGCGGCTCAGGCTGGCTGGGAGGTCAGATGGCATATTTGGTCCACCGTTCAGAGGGGCTTAGCAGGCTGCAGGAATCCTTTTCCTAAATGTCTTTCTATGTAATGCTGGTACCTACTTTCCACTATTACACAATTTTTAAAAAAAGATTTATTTTTATTACAAAGTCATATACAGAGAGGAGATATACAGAGAGGAGGAGAGACAGAGGAAGATCTTCCACCTGCTGATTCACTGCCCAAGAGGCTGCAATGGCTGGAGCTAAGTCAATCTGAAGCCAGAAGCCAGCAGCTCTCAGGGTCTCCCACATGGATGCAGGGTCCCAAGGCTTTGGGCCGTCCTCAACTGCTTTCCCAAACCTCAAGCAGGGAGCTGAATGGGAAGTGGGGCTGCTGGGATTAGAACCAACACCCATATGGGATCCCAGCACATGCAAAGTGAGGACTTTAGCCACTAGGCTACTGTGTTGGGCCCTAGATGATTTTTAAAAAACACTTCTCTTGCCTTTTCTTTGCATAAATACAGTTAGCTCTGAGGGGGAACACCACGTTGGACGCTTTGGGATTCATCACGTGGCCCAGGGAAGACAGAGAGCTGGCCCTCAGGCAGCGACCCTGCTGGGGTTAGGAGTGTTTGTGTTTAACTGTAAACTCTCTCCATGAGGAAGTGTGACTAAGACCTTGGGTCTTGGTTAACACACGACCCAGACCCCCAGATTGGCTGGACATTCTTCAGACAAAGGGGCTGCTGTGGTTTTCTGTCATCTGAGGAATCTGTGGAGGGCCACAACTAGCGGGGACCTGTCCAGTGCGTGCTTGGTTTGGCGGTCACTCCCGCCACTGTGCACCATCAAATCTCCCTTGCCTTCCCATGCCTGGTGCTGGGAGGGGTCTGGCAGTGCCTCCTGCCTCTCAGGAGCAGAGCCAGAGAAGAGCGAAGGTTGGGATGAGGTGACCATGACGGCTGTGGCAGCAGGAAGGAGCGCCAAGGATAAACAAGGCTTCCACGGGGTCTTTGCTCTGTTCTTTGAGGCGTATCCTGGCTGTGGAAACTGGTGCCAAGAGAAATGCAGAGGTGTGGTGTGTGGAATGCCAATGATATGGCTGTAACTTTTTCTCCATTCTGTAATAGCTAGGTCCCTTCACTCTTGCCTTGCATAAATCCTGTTAACTCTGTGTGCCCTGGGAGGCCTGTGTGTGGAGTGCTGGTGTGGCTGGGGTGCAGGGAGCTTGTGGTGTGTGATGTGTGAAAGTTCCTGAGTGCACGCTGTCTTCGGTCTGGGTGGACGAGTGTGTGTGTGTGTGTGTAGGGTTTTTTGGGGCATGTGCAGAGTGTGTGCTGTGGTTCAGATGAGGGGGTGTGTTATGACTTGGAGCCACCATGAACGCAGCCAGTGGTGCTCTCTGCACAGAGGGACAAGCCTACGGAAATACCAACGAGCTCTGACTGGGCACTGCTGTCTGCAGGCATGCTGGCCTGGGTGCGAGAAGGTTCGCGGGGAAGAGTGGGAAGTCCCACTGAGGGAGCCGCTGTCCCAGCATGGATGGGAGCCGGCACCCCCGGCCTCACTGAGGTGTTCCGCCATGGACCCGCGCGGCGGCAGAGCGGACTCCATCACGGCCCACGACAGGCGTGGCCCGAGGCGCGGCGGGGCGGGCGAGCGCGCGGGCCCAGTACGCTGGGGGCGGGACCCGACCCTCAGGGGGCGGGGCCGCGGCCAGGGGCGGGGCCAAGAGCGGGGGCGGGACCCGATCCTCGCGGCAGCGGCCAGGGGCGGGGCTGAAGCCGGGGGTCGGACTGGCAGCGGGCCGCGGCGCGGAAGTAGGGATGGGAGTGAGGGCCGGGCCCGTGAGGTAAAGGGAGGACTGGGCTCGAGGGGCGCGACGGCAGCTGGGAGGTCCCGGATGAAGAACGCGGCTGACGCTCAGAGCGGGCGGGGAGAGCACGCGGCCGGAGGCGGGGAGAAGGCAGGCGGGAGGGGCGGCGGCAGCATGAGGCTGCGCTAGGGGCCAGCCCGGGGCGGAGCGAACGGTGGAGTGTTGGCGGGGCCGAGGGCTCGGCCGAGCTGAGCGTCGAGGAAGCGGCTTAGAGAGGAAGCCGTCCGGGAGCGATGTGGGCCAGGACGACGCTAAGGATTGAGAGGTGGACGAGGGCCGATAGCGAGTGCAAGGCCGGCGGCTGGGAGAGCGAGAGCGGCGGTAAGGGGCGGGCTCTCGGGGAACCGTGGGCCAATGGCAGAGGTCGGAGCCGGGCGGGGCGGGGCCGGGGTCGGGCACTCGTGGGGGGTCGGGCTCTCGGGGAGTCGTGGGCCAATGGCTGAGTTCGGGGCCGGGGCGGGTTCTCGGGGAGTCGTGGGCCAATGGCTGAGGTCGGGGCCGGGGCGGGTTCTCGGGGAGTCGTGGGCCAATGGCTGAGGTCGGGGCCTGGGCGGGTTCTCGGGGAGCCGTGGGCCAATGGCTGAGGTCGGGGCCGGGGCGGGAGCCGGGCCGCAGCTGCGGGCCGTGCGGTGGCCGTGTGGACGCCGGCCTCGCCGCGGCCCTCGCGGTCCGTGGCCCGGTGGGCGGTTCCATCGGCCGTGAAGGCGCGAAGGAGTCGGGTGGGGGTTCCACGCCGTGACATCACAATCGCCTGCAGGTGGGGGCGGGGCGGGCCGCAGTCCCGGGAGACGCGGGCGGGTCGCCCCTTGCTCTCTTCCTCTTCCCTCCCCTTCCTCGGCTCTCACCTCCCCTTCCTTTCTCCCCTCCTCCCTCCGGAGTGGCTACTCTGGCGCCCGCCCCCCGTGCCTGAAGGGCTGGGGCCTCGGGCCGCGGGACGGGGCGGAGTCTGTACAGATGAGCATCACCTGTGAGTTTGGGTGAGGCCTCCATGTCCTGCCAGGGGAAAACCGGACTGCTTTTCAAGCTGTCACCTGCCGTTCAGGAGCCAGTGTCCTCCGAGTCCTGCTTGGGTCACTGCGGCCTCGGGAGCTCAGGGCCGAGCTTCAGCTGGAGCTCGGCTCTGCTTGCGGGGACGCTGCCTTCCTCAGCCCTGAGTTACTGAATCCTGGACTTCCCCAACTCCCCTTCCAGACAGCTGACGGCTATCGGGGCTGGTTGGGGGCAGGGTGGAGAGCCAGGTCAGACGGAGTGAGAGGCGCTTGCACTCTGGAAGCAAGCTGAACGTGGTCTTCTTGAGTTTGCGTGTGTGTTTCCCCAGCCAACAGTAAGTAACATGGACTGGGGACCGAGCAAGACCCTCCCCTGCCAGCTGTTAACTCGCCTCTGGAGACAAGTTCTTCACCCTGAGTCTGTGTTCCCATCCACCAAATGGTGGGGACCGTAACGGAAGCCTGACGGTGTGTGTGCCAGGTGTGACGTGTGCATTCTGGACCGGTGCTCTGTCCCTGGAAAAGCCCCCAGACAGTGAGCGTCTCACTGTGGCTCTGCTCACATGTCCATGCAGTCAGCCGACATGCACTGAGCGCTTGCCACACGCTGGGCTTTGTGGATGCAGAGGCGGATGGAATACCGGCGTTTACCATAATGCTGAGTGTCATGGGTGCCAGCTACCGTGGCAGGGCAGCGGAACCCAAGACAGGTATGGCTGCTTCCGCTTGGATACCGTTGTCTTTCCAAGACAAGCAGGTGTTTCTGGGGAGGGAGAGGCAGGTGAGAGGAATGGAGGGGTGAGGAGGAGTGACACCTGTGAAAGTCAGACTCTGAGGGGGCGGGGGAGGGACCCTCAGGGTCAGGAATTATGTCCCTCCCCCCCCCAGATTTATTTGAAAGAGTTAGGGAAAGGACAGAGAGAGATATGTCTTTCATCTGCTGGCTCATTTCCCTTCTGAAATGATTGCAGTGACTTTAGCTGGACAGAAGGCAGTAGCTTTCTCTGGATCTCCCACGTGGGAGCAGGAGCCCGAGGCCTTGAACCATCTTCTGCTTTCTCAGTCCATTTGCAGGAAGCCGAATCGAAGTGGAGGAGCTGGGACTTGAGCCGGCACCCATGATTATATTTGCAAGTGCAACAGGTGGCAACTTTACCTACTAACCCACAGCCTAGGAGTTTGTATTTCTTTTTCTTTTTTTTAAGATTTATTTTTATTTGAAAATGTTACAGAGAGGAGGAGAGACAGAGGTCTTCTATCGGATGTCTCACTCCCCAAGTGACCGCAATGACCGGAGCCAAGCCAATCTTGAGCCAGGAGCCTCTTCCGGGTCTCCCACATGGGTTGCAGGGTCCCAAGGCTTTGGGCCGTCCTTGATTGCTTTTCCAGGCCACAAGCAGGGAGCTGGATGGGAAGTGAAACAGCTGGGACACGAACCAGTTCCCATATGGGATCCTGGCGAGTGCAAGGCGAGAACTTTAGCCACTAGGCTACTGTGCTGGGGACAACAGTTTGTATTCATGAAGCAAGTGAGATGCTAATAAAAAGGGTGTATGTGATGAACCAGCTTCATTCTAGAAAAGTAATGGCTGCTGTGTGGGGATGGGATGAGGTCATGAGATAGGGAGGCCAGGCAGCAGGTTACTGTGGCTGTCTAGGTCCAAGCTGGGTGATTGGCACAGACTGCGGGCAACGCTGATCATGAAGTGGCTGCGAAGTTAAGGGGAAGGACGATTCCTTGATTTCTAGCTGTGGTGTCAGCTGTTTTATGAAATGGAGGCTATAAGAAGATGAGGTTCACGGTTCAAGGGGCGGGGCAGGAAAAAGATGGTAGAGTCCTGTGGGGCATGGCAATTTTTTAGTCTGTTTTGTTTTTTACTTGAAAGACAGACTTAGAAGAGAGAGAAGTCTTCCATCCTCTGGATCACTCCCTAAATGACTGCAATGGCCAGAGCTGGGCCATTCTGAAGCCAGGAGCCAAGAGCTTCCCCTGGGTCTTCCACGTGGGTGTAAAGGCTGAAGCACTAAGGCCATTTCCACTGCTCTCCCAGGCCATAATCACAGAGCTGGACAGGAAGAGGATCAGCTGGGACACAAACCAGTCATCATAAGGGATTTTACCTGCTTATGCCATGGTGCCTGATCTAGTACATACTGATCTTAAGATGTTTGGGGCCTGTGATCGTACCATGACATAGCCAGTTTAACTGCTTCTTGCAGTGGCGTCATCCCATAAAGGCACCACTTTGAGTCCCAGATGCTCCACTTGCATCATAGCTAAAGTGGGAAACCAGAGGAGGATGGCGCAAGTGCTTGGGCCCATGCACAGACGGAGCCCCAGAAACAGCTCTCGGCTCCTGGCCTTGGACTGGCTCAGTTCCAGCCATTGTGCCTTCTGGGGATGGAAGATCTCTCACTGTGACTCTGCCTTTCAAATAAAAGTATAGATCTTTTGTTATTATAAAAACATAGATCTTTTATATAGAGACTTTTATTATTTATTTGGGAAGGCAGATTTAAAGGTCTTCTGTTCGCTGGTCCACCCCCCCAAGTGGCCGCAAGTCAGAACCAAGCTGATCCGAAGCCAGGAACTAGGGGTCTTATGGGTCTTTCACAGGGTGTAGGATCCCAAGGCTTAGGGCTGTCCTCCACTGCCTTCCCAGGCCACAGGCAGGGAGCTGGATGGGATGTGGAGTAACTGGGACACGAACAAGTGCCCATATGGGATCCTGGCGCATGCAAAGTGAGGATGCCACTGAGCTATCGTACAGGGCCCAAAAAGCTGTTTGGGACCGTTCAAGAGAATACTGGATATTTGCTTTGGAGACGCAGTCAGTATTACAGCCCTACTTTTATTTATTTATTCATTTTTTAATGGGAAAGTCAGATATACAGAGAGGAAGTTCTTCCGTCTGATGATTCACTCCCCAATGACTGCAACGGCCAGTGCTGTGCCAATCCAAAGCCAGGAGCCCAGATTCTCTTCCAGGTCTCCCACACAGTTGCAGGGTCCCAAGGCTTTGGGCCGTCCTCCACTGCTTTCCCAGACCACAAGCAGGGAGCTGGATGGGAAGTGGAGCTGCCGGGATTAGAACCGGCGCCCATATGGGATCCTGGCGTGTGTAAGGCGAGGACTTTAGCTACTAGGCCATGGTGCTGGGCCCAGCCCTACTTTTTTTTTTAAGAGTTATTATTTATTTGAAAGGCAGAATTAAGAATCAGAATCTTCCATCATCTGTTTCACTCCCCTACTTGGCTGGAGCATCCAGGGCTGATTCAATCCAAAGTCTGGAGCCTGGAGCTTCTTGCAAATATCCGACATGAGTCAAGTTCCCTGAACACTGGAGCCATCTTTTGCTGCTTTCCCAGGAGCATTAGCAGGGAGCAAGGTTGGAAGTGGAGAAGCTGAACTGACTTGAACTGGTACCTATGGGACACCAGTGTTGCAGGCTTAGTATGCTATGCCACAGTGCTGTCCCCTAGAAACTAGATAGATGTCTGCTATTTTCTTTGTGGATGTTGAAACCATGGAAATAGATGATGCTTCTAGGAAATGTGTGTGTGTTGTTAATCTCCCCTTTATGGGGTATGACCAAGAAAGAGGCAAAGATGGCAAGAAGGAACTAAAGAGCCATTCAGAGGAATGAGATGAGATGTCTGTCATGGAAGGCCCTGGAACATGGTGTAAATGGAGACTGGTCAGCCGCATCAAGCAATGAGGGGAAAAGGAGACTGCTAAGATGGACACTGCTGGTGGCCTTGGGTGGGTGGCAGCAGTGGGCAGATAGCCTGCTTGGAGAAAGAGGTGAGGACCCGGAGCTTGCTGGAAGAGGGGCTGGCCTCCCTCACTGGTGCCTGGGACATAATGGGTATTAGAAGGCAGGGACAAACGGGGTGGCCGAGTGTTCTGTTTGAAGACGTTCCTAGTCTCTAGGAAAAGCCTGCAAAGGAACGATTCTGGTGGGAAAGTGTGTGCTGCTGCTTGGCCAGGAGGATGGGAGGTGTTGGTGAGGAAGGAGCAGCTGCAGAGTGCGTGGGGGAGATGAACTGCTGGGAGGGACAGCAGCTGCACAGGTGTTCCCAGCAAGTGCCTGGACTGCGGGAACAGGAGCGCAAGCTGACCGGGGGCTTGTGGAATGCTGCTTGGGGCCCGTTGAAGGCCCTTAGCAATGATCTTCCTCAAACAGGGCTCGGATTCAGTGTGTCAAGGGAAGGTGGCCGACTCCCCTGTCGGTGCTGACAGCTAGGGAGCTGGAGGTAGAGCAGGGATCCTCTGCCCAGGCTCCACACACCTGGGATCGTGGCTGGAGCTGCCACTTCTGGCTTAGGCCTTCCTCACTCCTGTTCTTTACCCCGACTCCCATGATGCTCCTTCCAAGAAGTCCTCCCTGTTCCCCGTCACTGCCTTGGCACATCCTGCCAGGTCGTCCTGGCCGTTCTTTCTCATTGGGTAGCCGCTTTGCTGTCTGGGACTTTTCCTGCATTGTTCCCCAGCGACCAGAGCAGCTTCTGTGGTTTAATTTTCTGCATCTCCAGGATGTGGGAAGGGATGAATGGCAGGTGGAGGGGCTGCCGCCCACTGCCCTCTGTGCTCCCTCAGATGTAAACAGGCTGCCCAGCTGGAAGAGAGGACATCCACCAGCTAGTGTGGCATCCAGCACCGATGCATCTACTTTCTCCTCTGAAGGTGGGTCGGGGGCGCTCTGGGCCTGGGGATCGCCACCCCTCCCTTGGTTAAGCTGCCCCTGGGAAAAGGCTGGCAGGGTATGTTTATTCGTGGGCAGGGAGGGAAGTTTTGTCGTGGTGTGTCAGTAACTGGTGCCTCTCCCTCAACCACTTCATTTTCTTTTAAAGACTTATTTATTGGAAAGTCAGATAGATATACAGAGAGGAGGAGAGACAGAGAGGAAGATCTTCCATCCTATGATTCACTCCCCAAGTGAGCGCAACGGCCGGTGCTGTGCCGATCCGAAGGCAGGATCCAGGAACTTCTTCCAGGTCTCCCGCATGGGTGCAGGGTCCCAAGGCTTTGGGCCGTCTTCGACTGCTTTCCCAGGCCACAAGCAGGGAGCTGGATGGGAAGTGAGGCTGCTGGGATTAGAACCGGCGCCCATATGGGATCCCGGTGCGATCAAGGCGAGGACTTTAGCTGCTAGGCCACGCTGCCGGGCCCCCTATACTGCATTTTTGAGTACAGGAGTCTCTGAGATGTGTGACTTGAGTCGAGTCCTCCCAGCAACCTTGCTAACTCTGTCGCTACCACCCCATTTTGTTGTTAAGGAAACAGGCCTACGTCATAGGCAGTGAAGTCAGACCTGCACCCTAACCTGTCTCCCTCCAGTTCTGGGAACTCGCCACTTGGCTGAGACCAGAGGTGGTGATGGCCTGAGGTTCCGCTCCTCAGGCCCTGGTGTCCCTGGGGGTAGGGAAAGTGCCCAGGAGGAGACCTAGAGCCAAAAAGGGCATTTCTGGAAGCTTCCAGCCTTGTGGTGGGGTGGGGAACGAGGGAGAAGAGCTTCCTCAGAGCAAGTTGCTTCTCACGCCACTGGCTTACATATGCACGGTCTGGGTGAAGTCTTGGCTGGTGGTCAGCAGCAGGCTTGCCTGGGTCTCACCCCTCCTGAGCATGGGCTCAAGGTATAGTTTTTGTAGCCTTTGCAGAGCCTCTCCAGGCTGCCCACTTTATCGGAGGGCCAGGGGAGCCTGCAGCAAGCCCCTGGTCCTCTACACAGGATGCTAGGAGAGGTGCGTGGAGTCATCTGAAGGGCAGCTTAGAGGGACAGCCAGGGCAGACAGGGATCTGCAGTAGCAGAGATCTGGGGTACTGTGAGGTAGAGGTGGGACCTTTTTTCAGGGCTCAAGGTGGCCATGGGAAAGCAGCGGGCAAGGAGGAGGCAGCGCCGGAGGAGCATGCGAGGGCTGGCTTTGCCAGCAGAGGCTGCAAGGGTCAGACGTGAGCTGGTGTGGGGGTTCCCCAACCTAGCTGTAGTGTGGGCACCCTCAGAACAAAATGAAATGGCTGGTGTCACAGGATGAGAAGGGGGACCTCCTGAGGATGTCCTATGTGCTGGACAGGACGGCAGACCCAAGGGAGTCTGCAGGCACAGCAGACAGCAGAAGGGCAGTGCCCAGCCCTGGAGGTACTGCTGGGCTGAGCTGCCACTCCTAAAGTAGAACAGGGGGAGGCGGGGTGAGTGGCAGCTCCAGGCCCCGCCCCGCTCCAGGTGACTGCAAGGAGACGGACAGGTGCTGCTGCAAACACCAGCAGTGCACGGCGCACATCATCCACCCCTTTGACTACGGCCACTGCAACCTGCACCTACATGCCATCAACCACTGCGACTGTGATGCCAGGTGGGCGCCCAGGCCAGCTGTCACAGAGGGGTCCCTCTCAGCCTCTCATTTGCTTCCTCAGCTGGCTGTGCTATTCTAGCCTGCTTGGAAGCCTTACAGTGCTCCGTGAGCAGTGGGGAGGTCTTAGGAAGTCCAGGGTGAGCTGGAAACCTGCTGTTTGTTCAGGCTTCTGGCTCTGAGCCTTGGGGGTACACGGGGTACAGGTGGCAGGCTGAGTCCTGTTTGTGGCAGGGTGAAGGATGGCTCAGAGAAGTCCAGCAGCAGCAGCAGCTCCCGAGACCCAGGCCCAGCCCGCTCCCGCTCCCGCTCGGGCTCGGGCTCTGGCCAAGGCCCGGGTCCTGGTCCAGGCTCGGGTTCTGGCTCAGGCCCAACCTGCTGCAACATCATCAAGACTCCCTGCTTTGAGCTCATCCCGGAGGAGGCGTGCGTGGAGCAGATCTGGTATGGCTGGTGAGTGTGGGCAGGCCAGAGTTTCTCTCCTGGGGAGTTCCCCCCCCCAACACCCAGTAAGCCTTCTCTTCCTGCCCTCCCCCACCCACCTCGTGTCCAGGTGTAAAAGCTACCGGCCTGTGTCTGTGGCAGTGATTCACCATCCCATACGTCATGAGTGTTTGGCAGATGACCTAAATGAAGAGGATGACAGCAAGCCCCCCATCCCAACCCAGGTGGGGCCCACCACCACACCTGCTGACACATGTACTGTCACGGTCACCAGTGTGCCCGACACGCCAGCACCCATTACCATCTGGCGCTCAGAGAGCCCCACAGGGAAGAGCCCGGGGGGCAAGGCGACCAAGAAAAAGAAGAAAAAGGAAAAAGACAAAGAGGAGGAGACAACGGATGAGAAGACAAAGCTGAAGAAAAAACCCAAGAAAGGTAAGCTGACTAAGAAGAAAAGCCCAGTGAAATCGGAGTGTTCGCCTCCAGATCTGACTCGATCTTTAAGCCCAAGAGACTTGGCCAGGATGTCTGAGTCCAGCCCAGAAAGCCGTGAAGACCTGGAGAGTGAGGAGAGTTACACTGACCGGGGACAGGGCGAGCCCTCCAGCGAGGACATGGTACAGTCGTCATCGCCCAGGAAGAAAGACAGGAATGGTGCCCAGGCTAAGAAGACTGGGGGAAAGACCATACAAGCCAGGAAGGTGAACAAAAGGAAATCCCCCCCTGCATCCACCCCTACCCTTAGCTGAGGCCAGGGAAGCCAGAGTGATGAATAAATGCCATCAAGCCGGTAGCTGACCCCTGCTGTCCTGTCCCACCACATGGGCCACTGCTTGGGGGCATGGAGTGGGTTCTGGGTACAGTCAGAGCGGAGGGGCTAGGTAGGGATGCCAGGAGTCTCCAGGGGAAGGTAGGTAGATGAGAAAGAAAGGGCCACATTTCTTTGCAGTATTAGGACCTGGGCAGAAAAGGACATTTAGGCTGGGGTGAAAGGGAGGGCTCCCTGCAGCCCACCTTTCAGACACTCTGGAGATACCCCTAATAAACCTGAGCCTTTGACCCAGTGTGCCTGGCTTTCCCTCTAATTGTACCTGGGGAAGATCCCCCTCCCCCAGACACACCAGCTGCTGCTGTCGTCTTCCTGCTAGACTCCTGTAGGCCTTTTGTGCCAAGGGAGTGAGTGGAACTGAGTTCCCTGGCAGTGGACTGGCTCCTTCCCCCAGCTCTTGCCCAAATTCCCACACATGGTGACCTCTTCTGACTTCTCTTGTTTTTCCCAAGCAGAGCAAAGTGGAGGGCAACCTCACTTTCCCAGCACCACGCCACAGAACTGTGAGAATGAAGAAATGGGTAGATCAGGAGTCCAGGGCTGAGGGAAAGGCCTGGGGCCAGGGAGGGAAGCAGGTATGGGAACAGGTAAGTGTGGGGTCCAGCTGGGAGAAGTGGAGGGGACTGGTGCCAGGGATCAAGGTGAGAATCCTGAACTCTGCAGGATGCCAGAGGGACTGGCAGGGTAAGGTGACCAGGCCGCTTTATACAAGGGATGTGACAGCACCCTGAGGTGCCAGGTTCCTGGCTGAGGCCTCACCTGCAGCAGCCCCCGTCTGAAGGCATCAGACCCTCACCAAGGATGGCAGGCAGGGTGGGGGTGGCGTGGGTAGCTCTCTGAGGTCAGATGCTGCTCTGAAAGCCACTCTTCAAAAACTGCAAGTTGGAGACTGAGGCGAGGGCTCTGTAGAAACACTGTTTATTCAAAGGACAGGTAGGGAGCGTGACAGCAGGCGGGGAGGACAGGCAGGCAGGGCTGGGCAAGTCAGCATTGCTCCTGGCAACCCTGCTCTGCTCCTGGTCACCCAAGCTGTTGGCATCACAGTCAAAAATACCACCCCCCCACGTCCCTTCTGCCCCAAACTGAATAAATAGCATCCCTCTCTCCCAAGACCAGGGGAGCCTTGCGTGCTGAGCCTGCTGCCCATCACAGCACAGAGTAGCTGAGGGCAGAATCTCACATGGCTTGTAGGGAGTAAAGCACAAAACTGCTCCACCCTCCTCCTCCCTGCCACACTACCCCAGCCTGGTCCCTGCACAGGTGCTTGGTGAGGCTCTAGAGTGCAAGAACTGCTGTCTTGCATCCACTGAGCTCAAGTACACAAGACCATCCTGCTTGACACCCATCCAGGCTGATCACCACGCCATGCCATGGAGGGTGAGGCAGTGGACAGCCAGGCTTCTTGCAGCCTCAGAGGTAACCGGAGTCCAAGGAGCAGCCCCTACCGATCCATCTCATCTAGAAGCGGGGTGGCATCGCCGGCAATGGACATGGGCGTGCTTTCGATCATGGGGCTGGGGGAAGGCCGAGGTGTCAGCCGCTGCTTCTGTTTCCTCCGCTCTGCCTCCTTCTCCTGTAGCCACTGTTCTGCCATCTTCCCCCAGTCGATAGCTGCATGGCTGTTGGACCTGGGAGGAGAAATAGATGGACTTGGAGGCTGGTACTCTGGGGCCTGCAAGGCAAGTGCTCTCAGAAACCAGTGCCTGAACTTGTAGCTGGCAGATGAGGAATGGCACTAAGCCCTCAGATACTTACTTTGGCTGCTGTTGCCTTTGCCTGGAGCTGGAAGAGGGCTGCGGTTGGGCCTGGGCAGTCTGCGGGGTGGTGCTGGCCTGTAGCTGGTGGTACTGGGGGGTGGTGATGGGCTGGCTTGGGGTTGTGTACGAGTAGCTGGGTGTCATCAGTGGTGTGGCCACTGGTTGCTGAGCTGGCGTAGGGAATACCTGGAATGGTGTGGAACAATTCAGTTTATCTGGGTTTGGGCCTGTCTGACCCTGTTGCTTTTTGATAAGCTGTGAGGGAGTGGTCGGCAGAGCATTCCAGCTGCCCCTCGCCTCGGTACAGTGTGGTTCTGGGAGCAGGGAGAATGGTGCTTGGCACTCAGTAGGGCCCCCAGTCCTGCACACCATTAGTTTCCTATGGCTTGTGGGAAATTAAAGCTTTCCGAAGGACTCTGAGGGAGCTAAGGTCCTCTTTTCTCGGCTGCCTAAAAAAGGCCTGTGTGGGGACAGTTCCCAAGGCCAGGGAAGCTCCATCAGTGTCTAGACAGCCCATGTGGAGGGTGCAGCCGAGGCCAGACTGGGGGACCCCTGGCCCCTCCACACCCTGAAAAGGGAGCCCCTTCCCCAGCTACATACGTGGTAAGCACTGCTGCCCCCTCCACTGCCACCATAGCCATACTGGCTGGAGGCCCACTGCGCTGGGGTGGCATTGGGGTTCTGCCCTTGTCCTGTGACAGCAGCGATGGCACTGAACATCTGTGAAGTCATGTTCTGGGGCAGGGCGTTCACAGCTCGTGTCAGATCTGTAAGCATGTAGAAGTGGAATGGGCATGTTAAAGGCTGAAGTCCCTCTGGCTCCATACCTGTTACCCCAGTTCCAGGCCCGAGCACCTCACCTGCAAGGTTGATGTTGGCCGGGGTAGCGCTGATGGAGGCAGGGGTCCGGGTCCTACTGCTGCTGGGAGTGATACCTAGGGGAACGGCTACAGTCAGTCACGTCCCTCCAGAAACCTAGTGTTGGCTTCCTAGGTCAGAGACTCTGAGGAGATTCTGAGGTAGGTAGAGAAAGGAAATGGTGTGCCCTAGCACAGGGGAGAGGGGGCTATCTGATGTGCAGCCCCTGGGGGAACAGTAGGATAGCTGAGTCCCAGCCTGTCCTCACCCTTTGTCCCAGACGGCCCTCTGCATTCCTCCAACCACAGCGCTCAAGTCAGGCGACAGTGGAGCTCACCTGGCACTGGGTCTTGGTAATGATCCTTAAACCACCTGAAGAGGCCATTCACTGTTGGGAAGATCTGACCCCGGTACCGGAATCCTTCTGGAGTCACTGTTACATATTCGATCCTGGGATATTAGAAGGAAACATTTGTCAGAAACCACCTGGAGTCAGCTGTGAGGATGCAACCAGAACAAATGTCTACCATGTGAAATAGCCAAGCAGAGGTGACAGCCCTGGCCCTGGAAGGGGAGGTGTCACTGAGGGGAGGGGTGAGGCATGTGTAACAGTGAACGCAAGGCCAGATTCTTCAGCACACCGGGCACTGGGCTGCAGTATGTGGTGCAGCACACAGCAGGTAAAGGGGGCACTGCAGTCATGCAGTATCAGAGAGGAGCAGCCTCCCGGGGGCAAGCTTGTTGTCACTTCTGAGGTCAACAGCGTTTGTGTGCGAGGATGGGCTCTGGGTCAGACCCTGGTGTAATTTGAGCTCTGCCACTTACCACCCCTGTGGTTTTACACCAAGTTACTAAACCCAACTCTCCACTTCATTTGTAAAACGAGGAAAACAGCACCTGAGACAGTGTGCAAGTGCACTCCCCTCAACCCTCCAACAGGGCTATGCCAATCAGCTGTCCTAAGGATAGTGCTCCTGGTGAAAGGCTCCCCATTTGGCCCAACCATCCTCTATGGGATGCAATTTCCAGGCCACACGCAACCCTGGCTGCCATCCTCTGGAGACATGCTGGGGAGCTGGAAACAAGCGCAGCACATTTCAGATGTGCCCAAGGCAGAGCCCCCAGATCCCTTGGCTCTGCATCTGCCACTGTAACCTAAGCTGTGCCAACCGGATGGGCAGTACAGGGATACAAGCGGAGATGCAGACACAGGAGCTGAGGGCCCCAACAAGGATGGGGGTTAGGCTTGGCAGAGAAGGCAGTGTAGCTAAGACACAAAATTGGTCTAAGCCCACCCAGTGGACTGTGGTTCAGAAGGTCCCAGGCAAAGGAGGCCGTTGGCTGCACACAGCGGGCAACAATCTCATCTAAGTCCTGTCTAATATGCCCGGGAAGGCCAGCTGGTCAGTCACACGGGGGGAGGGGACGGCAGGACAGAAGAGATGCTCTCCTGACCTCACGCCCCAAGCAAACAGCACATCCATCAACATGCCAGTCACTGGCCTCTACCTTCCATCACACCTGGGGTACACTGGGTGCAGGGAGCCCCTCTTCCCAGGGCTATGCCAGCAGGCTTCCCTTAAGAACCTTTACCCCTGTGTCTTTCTTGATCACCCCCTCCCCACGTCCAGCCTTCATCTCCATCCTCACTGAGAGGAGGAGCAAGGCAATGAAGCAGAGGCGAGGGCCCGGCTTCCTTCTGGTCTCACTGTGGCCTGCGGCGGCAGCACCTCGCCAGCACCAGTGCTCACCTGGGTTTACCCCGGGGCTGGTATCCCAAGAGGAACTTGCCGGGCAGTTCCTTGCAGGCACAGATGAAGTAGGGGATGAAGGTGGGCTTCTCCTTCTTAGTTTTGATGAGCAGCTCTTCTAATTTCTGGGGGTAGAATGAGGGAAAGCGAGAGGCTGGGAGGGCAGAATGCCTGGTACCCCGTGTCTAGCACATACGATGTACGTTTCCTTCACCAACTGCACGTCCCAAGGGAAAACAGACACCCTGAAGTGCTAGGACAGTGTCCTCAGAAGGACCTGGGCTCACCTTGCGGTCCCCGCCGCTGCAATCCTGATAATATTTATGGTTCAGAAGGTCCCGGGCAAAGGAGGCCATTGGCTGCACATAGCGGGCAACAATCTCATCTAAGTCTTCGAATTCCTATGGGCAAAAGGCAAAGGCCACATGTCAGATCCACCCTGAAGAGAAGCCAGGGAAGAGGTGGCCTTCCAATCCATGGGGGAGGACCCTTACTGTATCCATCTGCTGGAGTCAGGCTTACAGGGCACAAAGTCCTTTAAACCCAGCTTGGATCCTACCCTAACGCTCATGAACAATAAGGAACTTCACTAGATTTCTCTTCACTGAAAATAGGAAAAAAGGAACTGAATTTTTGTGTGATTGCTTCACGGGCATATATAAGCATGTATATTCTCTCCTCTTCCTCCATTGGTTTTCTAGATTGTGTATTTCAAAATTCTGAGGTGACCCAAAATACACAAAATCAGTATCAAGTAACACTCCACAATGCATTTCCTGTTTTGGCTGGTCTCCACAGTACAGTTCATACTGTGCTTGCGTGTTGCTCTTAGGTCAGGTGGGCGGCAGGGCCCGTCTCTGGGAAGAGATGGAGGGCTGGCAGGTGGGCAGGCTCAGGCTCTCACCTCACTGTTGATCCAGAGCGTGGCTCCCAGGCTGAAGGCGTTTTCCTTGCCCTCCTCCCGCACATCCACATGCTGGTAGATGCCATCACTGACTTTCCAGGTCACTGTCAAGTGGTTCTCACCCTTGCTGCTTGGCCGGATGATCACGTCACCTTGGTCCATGGTCTCCATCATCTTTTCTGCTTGCTTGAAATTAATATTATGGAAAGATGGG